GAAAAAAATGCTGCCAAAGAATTGGGTCAGTAACACGCCAAAAAAAAAGAAGGCGAAGCAGCAGAGGCAGAGGCGCACCGCCGCACACACGAAACGCAAGAGAAAGATAAGAAGAAGAAGAAGAAGGAGCAGGCAGCCGCACAGCAACAACAACAACAGTAAGAAAAGAAGCAGTGGATCGGCTGGGAAAGGGGAGGGGGAGAGGAGCCAGAGAGAAAGAAAAGCAAAAACAAAAACAAAGCACGCAAATAAAAAGCAAAAAAAAGTCAATTGAGCGTGGTCATAGCTAGAAAACAAAAACAAAAATAACAGGTTACGAGCACAGGATACCCTCTAATTGTATGTAATTTCGCGAGTGAGAGGAAAGTGATGGCAGAACTGGTTACAAAAAGTTGTTAAAAGAATACCGATTGCCTTTATTCTGGTAGTAATAGTCAATTTAACCCATGATTAATTCTAAAACAAAAACTTGACCCAACCGAGGGTACACATTTATGACCCAACATACCCCTGTAGACCCTGAGTACAGGGTGCCGAAACAATGACGCGACAACGGGAGCATCAGGGCAGCAGGAATTTGTTGACAAACGTTTTAGGAGGAAGTTCAAACAAAAGCAACAAAAAATTAATTAAAAACAGAACATCAAATAAATTGCACAAATTTCGTGACCCAATTCTTTTAAATGATTTTGTTTTCTATTCATCTTCTATTTATATTGAAATTTGAATGCGAATTTCTTGAAGAACAACACGGCTCTGAGGAGGGACAGAGGCGCTGGCGTCGTCGGTAGGGCGGAGCCAGAGGCAGCAGCAGCAGCGTCAATGAACTCTTCAGGCCCGGCCCTTACGATATCCCATATACGATATAAGCAGACACACGTTATAAACATACATATGTACATACGATCATCTGTTTTATTTGGCAACTTGTTTAATATCGGTCAATGAATTCCACAACAACGGCAGCCGCAGAGCAGAAATATTTAATACGAAACAACAACAGACGAGATAAGAATTTCAAAAATGTTTCTTTTGATTGCGTGCCACACGAACCACAGACAAACGGCAAACGAAGCTTTAGATACTCTTGCAGAAAAATAATTAAAGAAAAAAAATCATACATGTATAAGGGTAGAAGTTCTTGAGGTTTCTGTTACTTCCTGCTCAAATGCCTTTCCAGTGTGATAATACCCTCTTCAAGGGTATAATAATCACAAAAACACACACACACTCACACAGGTGGGGGCACAGGGTCTCTCTCTCTGTATGCAATGCCAAACTTTCACGTAATTTTTGCGTTGTTTCTTTCCTTATCCCATGCCCATCTACCTTTCTCTTTCACACTCTTTCTCCCCCTCCCTCGCTCCACACACTCGCTCTCTGTCCGTCCCTGTCCCACTCGCGCAGTGTGTGTGAATTATATTATTTTTTTTTTTTGGCGTCTGTTTTGCTTGTTGTAAAAGTCAATAACCTTTTCGCGTATTCAAGAAGCCAGTTTCAGTTCCTCCACGAAGCGTTCCCCCAAAAGAAACCCCAGCCGGCAACAACAACAAACCCAAAAAAAAAACAAAAAAACAAAAAACTTAATTCAAAGTTAGTTTCTTCTCCGATTTGATTGTTGTTGTTGTTGTTGGCCTTAATCAAGAGTCGAGAAAAAAAGAGGAGAAATGGCATCATAGTTGGGTTAAGTGGATAGCCGGTTACTTGGTCAGCAAGGGTTCTTGGCCCCAAAAAGTGGAGATCATTCGGTCAGAGTACGCTAATTACGTAAATTCGGATGCTGGTCGAAAACTTTTGTGGTAGGTGTTTGCCACGCGAGTGACGGAGGGGGGGTCATCGCGTGTTCTTGTCGAAGAAATACGAAAGAGGAAGAGGCAGCTCAGGGCTCTTTAACAAAACACCCAAGTAGAATTCTTTCTTTTACACAAATCTCCCAGGGGCTTCCACTATTTAGGACAATCTTACGATGAGACCATGCCTACGTGCTCTTTGGCACACAATCCAGCGTTTTGGGTGCGCCTCAAATGTCGTTTCCAAATTAAAAGAAAGTCAAATTGTAGGAGGAAAAGAAACCAAAGAAATTAAAATGCTTTTCCCAGACAAGACACAACATGCTTTACTGAAAACAGTTTCTCCCCCACACAAAGCCACGAATGTGCCGAAGAGTTCATGTGAAATGACCCCCCCAGTGATGTCACGTGTTCCGCCAGCTGAGGTACAAAAATTCGTTGTTCTTTGCGAAATATATGTAGTATTCACATTCAATTGGGGGATTTGTGCCATGTGAGGGCCATTACCGAAATGGGTCAAGCTTGGAACAATGGGGCATACTAGTCGGTACGAGTATGAGTAAGAATCGGATTGACAACCAGAGTGTGGGAAAGCAGAACGCTTTGACCCAGCTAAAGTTCAAATATTTTTCCCAGAAAAGCGGAGGATGGAAAGTGCCCGAGGGAAATCTTTTGCGGTCCTGGGCTTTGGGCATACATTCGAAATTTTGAAGACATTTTCCATTAGACTTTGGAAAGTTAGTTTGATGCTTAGATTTCTTTTTGTTTTGCATCTACGTCAGGCGTCCGGTCCACGAGCGAAAGTATTCAACTTTGGACATCGCGAAACAAAACAAAATACGACTAGAAAACTCTATGAACAGCAACAAAAATGGCAGTCAAAATTAACCAAAAATCAAAACAAATTTTTGGGCTATTTTGATTGTGTTGAATAAATTTTGCCATCGAAAAATGTTCAATATTTCTTTCAAAATATTTATGTAAATATTTCACATAAAATCAATCATTTGGAAATGCTTGCTGCTTATTTCCATATCTAGTACTATTTTAGAGAATATTTGTCCCTATTTTAGTGAACTTTAAATTCAAAAGAACGCTATTGAAGCTGGTGGCATTTTCCTTGCATTTATTCTCATCTTTTGCATAGTTCTTTATGCTAGCCGTCTGGAGAAATTTCTAATAAATTCTTTCCCGGCTACCTATCGAACCCGGATATTGGCTGCCGGACAGTGAGACAGGCAGCTGCCGGCAGCAACAGGGACAGGAAAAATAAAATAAAATCAAGAAAGAACCTTACAGTCGCTATTCAGACTTTAAGGATACCTACTAGTGAGGTGTCGTGTCGGGGCGCTATGATCGATAAGGTCCAATTTGAATAGAGACTAGAGAAACCGTCTATCAAGGTGAAATTTATTTGAAATGCCGTCAACATAATCAAAAACTTAACCTGTCCACTTTTTCTTTCCTATCGGTGATGTATTTATTATTCAATCGTACTGGTTTCCTGATTTGAGCTGTAGATATTGGATAAGGATATTGGCCGGAACTGCTCCCTCCAGCCTCCGGATGACAGATGAAAAGTATACCCTTGTGCCCTGTACGCGTGCAGGGTATAATAAAACGTATTCCTCGCATACTTTGCATGCCGCCTGTGTGCGTAACTGTGTGTGTGTATGTGTGTGTGTGCGCATTGGCTTTGTTTGGCGTTGTTGTCATTTTCTCTCTCCCGACGACGCTGACTGCATTGACCCCCACTTGGGCATGACGTCTCTTTCTCATTCTTATTCTCATTCTCTGGCGCTGTCGCTGGCGCTGTTGTTGCTGCTGCTGTAACCGGCTCTCCCTCGCACTCACGCACAGTGCGGTTCAATGCACCCGACGCGGCTCTCTATTTACTTTCGGCGCCTACCGCCCGACGCGACGGAGGAGTCAATCACAAAATTTACATATCTGCATAATTTGTAAATTAAATTTGTTTTTGGAATAATTCTGATGATGCTGCCTTCTGCTACTGCGGATTCTGCTGTTTCGGATGGGATTTCGAATCCAGAAATAGATGTTATAACTATAACGGTGTTATCTATAGCTTCTCTCTGCCTACTCGGAGTGCTTTCCAGCCAAAGAAAATATTTAAATAAATTTGATGGGTACACAAACAACCGAAACAACAGAAACAGCAGCAGCAGTAGCTGGCAGGCAGGCTGGCAGGCTGGCAAGAGAAAAGAAGAGAGAACTGGCGCACCATGCAAGTCCCCGCCCGTCCGCAGAGGCTATTGACTCTGCCGCCGCAGCTCGGCCGCGCTGCTGCGTCGCCCTCGCAGTCCGTACCATCGTGTGTGCGTGTGTGCTTGTGTGTGTGTGTAGTAGGAGTGAAGTCGAATCATTGACCGAGAGTCAGGGCAAAAGGGAAACAAGCAAGATCGAATGGTCAACGTATCGACTAGAATATACCCTCTAATCGGATGCGCAAGTACGCAAAGTGGAAAGGGCGCAAACTATACAAATCAAGTCCCTATATCGGTAGATATATGCCTAACATATGTGGACACAAATGTTCAAAAATTGTCTTATCCGTATGCAAATTGTGACGCAACAGCAAATAGTCCTCTCATTGGAAACATTTCCTCTTCGCTGTCACATAAATTTGAACGATATCAATATGCCTTTGTTTTTCTCGTTTACACTGTGCAGGGTACAATCAGAGAGCACGCACAGCTCCCGCTCCCGCTTCCACTCCACTCCCACTCCCACTCTAAGATCACGCTCTCTTTACGCGCCTCCGAGTGTTGGTGCGTGTGCGTGTGTGTGCGAGGGAGAGTGATAATGCGACCGCCACACATATGATATTTCCGATAACAGTTGACAGTGAGACTCTGGCTTGGTTCTTGCTGTTAGCGGAGGGGGGGAGGAGGGGCACTGGGGACCTGAGCCGAGACAGTGTATTGTGCTTCTCCGAAAGGGGGGCGGGGGTAATTTTCGTTGCATTGATTTTACTTTTGCCTGTCTGCCGGGGCAGGGTACATTGACTTTTGTACGGACATGCACAAAAGATCTTTATTCTTGCGGAAAAGTTCCCAAAATACTGCAATTGAACAATAAGGATAAGATAATTGTTGTCAAACAAATCTGTTTATGATGGAAACATGATCTTTGTATTTATATTATTTTCCACCTCAATAACTTGACAATTTTCCTGGATTTCCGTTTCAGTGGCACGCCAGCATCTTTGGCGTATCCTTTCCTGAGTGGCCCGACACCGATTGCCCCAACAGCCGGGGCGCCACAACAGCAGCCACCACATCAGCCAGCAACCCCACCCACGCTACAGCTAACCTTTCAGAATCTGAATGTCTTGCACAACGAACGCAAAATACTTTCCGATGTGAGTGGATTTGTCAGGTAACAGAAACAAGAGCGAGCCATCAAGTAAACGCACACTCTACAATAAACTGGAAAAAAGCTAACTACCGGCTAAGCCGAAGTTTGTATACCCTTGCACGAACGGGAAGTAGATGGAAGGGATACCAATGGATGGGGCAAAAGTCATTTGGTGTTTGATACAATTTGGAACTTATGTATTCTTGCAATCATTAGAAAATTGATATTTCTAGGGAACCTATAAGATGATGTGATATTCAGAAGTAGACTTTTACAGACGGACCTTGCTAGATCGCGATATCTATTGATGATTACCACAATTACGTGTTTATGTACAGAGAGTTTTTTTTTTATCAGAGTCCTGCAGGAACAGGAAATCGAATTGATTCGGTGGGACTCGCTATTTGCTGTGATTGGTCAGTTAAAATCTGCGCCTTAGCTTTCAAATTCCACCAAAATGCTCGAACCAAACAGGTGTCGTAATTTTTACTGTATTGGATCCGTAAATTTCGGTTTTTTTTCTCGCTCACTATCCATTTGATATGGTTCCTTCTGTTTGTCGCAAACATCTGCAGGAACTCAAAGTATAGTCCATCCAGCAAGGGTATAAAAACCAGAACAAGATCCAGAGACCCAGTGAACCAGTGAACCAATGAACTAACCGTAATCTCTCATGCTCGCATGCTTCTCCTCTTTGGCTCTCTCTCCCCCCCTTTCTCCCTATCGTTGCAGTCCCTGCGAGGTGCTAGCCGTGATGGGGCCCTCGGGCAGCGGCAAGACCACGCTTCTGGACTGCCTCAGCGGACAGCGGCACATTGACAGCGGCAGCGTCTTCCTCAACCGGGAGCCGCTCTCGAAGAAGTGGCGCCGCCGGATCGGCTATGTCCTGCAGGAGGAGATCTTTTTCCCGCAGCTAACGCTCAGGGAGACGGTGGTCTACACAGCGCTGCTGCGCCTGCCCGAGTCCATGCCGCGGGCGGAGAAGATGCGACAAGTGGATCACATACTTGAGGCCCTGGAGTTGGGCTGCTGTCAGCAGACACGCTTCGGTGACTATCTCAATCGGGGTCTTTCCGGGGGCGAAAAGAAGCGGGCCAACATAGCCTGCGAGCTGCTGACGAATCCTTTGCTTATGCTCTTGGATGTAAGTACTCTGCAAATCTGTCTATCGTTCTTTAACTGAACGCTTCTCCTTCTCCCTAGGAGCCCACCTCTGGGCTGGACAGCCACTCGGCGATTTCGCTGATGAAGGTGCTCAAGAGGTACGCCCAGCTGGAGCAGAAGACGATTGTGATAAGCGTGCACCAGCCCTCGTCGCAGATGTTCCATATGTTCGACAAGCTGCTACTGCTCCATCAGGGCCGCACCGCCTACTTTGGGGACGTGCACAACATTTACAGGCACTTTGAGGATATCGGTGTCACCATCAAGCCGCACTACAATCCCGCTGACTTTGTCTGTAAGTTAGCCTAAGATTTTACAGATTCAAAGAGAAATCTAACCACGTGTTCCTTTCTATTAATCAACAGTGGAGCAATTGAAGTCCCATCCGGATATTCGCGAGAAGCTGTTCGTAGCCGCCAAGGAATCTCATGGCAACTATTTGAACCGCAATTGCATCACCAGCAGCCACCATCCGTGTGGAGAGTCCAAGGTCAAGAAGCAGACGGACAGCATCCTAATCGACGACATAATCAACAACTACTACAACCAGCATCACCACAGCACGCATCACCATCTCCACCAGCCCCACCATCACCATCATCATCACCATCACCAGTACGAAAACCTACATCACACAAGCAGTGGCTGCCAGGTGGAGGAGGACGAAGAGGCAGCCCAACACTTGGTCTGGTGCGGTGCCGACTCGCAGTCAAACTTCAGTTCCTGTGCCTCCAGTGACTGCCACTCGTACAGTGCCGGCAGCGGCGGACCGAGCCATACCGGGGATGAGGACTGGCTGTCGTATCCCACAAGCTTTCACACTCAGTTCTGTGTCCTGTCTAGCCGCAACTTCAAGGAGGCCAAGCCCCGTATGCTCTCCAAGCTCAATTGGTTCCAGACAATCGGTCTGGCTCTGATGGCAGGCGCCATTTGGTTCCAGCTGCCCCGCACCGAGGAGTTCCTGCACGACCTGCAAGGCTGGATGTTCTTCTCGCAGACCTATTGGATGCTCTTTGCTCTGTTCGGTGCTCTTAATTCATGTGAGTTGTGGTGTGATGCTGTGAATGTCTTTTGCATGTTTAATCCTTTTCCTTTTTTCGGACAGTCCCCTCTGAGCGTGAGGTCATTAGCAAGGAGCGTCGCTCGGGCGCCTACCGCCTGTCCGCCTATTATCTGGCCAAGATGTGTGCCGAACTGCCCCTGGTGGTCACGCTGCCCACTGTCTACCTCATGATAAGCTATCCCATGCTGGGCTGCACAAGGCAAGTGTTTTACATTTACCTATTTTATAGCAGCTAATCTCAGACCCCACTTTACAGCCTAAAACTGTTCTTCCTGATGCTCATCTTCCTGCTCATCAATACCATTGTGGCGCAGAGCGTGGGCTTCTTTATAGGCGCCTGCTGCATGGACATGAACGTGAGCATCACGCTCAGTGCCCTATACACGCTGGCCACCCAGCTCTTTGGCGGCTATCTGTCGTCACGCATTCCGGAGGGCCTGAGCTGGATACGCTACACGTCCATGATCCACTACGCCTATCAGAATATGCAGATACTGGAGTTTCGCGAGGGTCCGGCTGTTAGGTGAGCTTTTGCCTTAGCTACTCCTTGATCTGTGACTCTGACCTCTGATTCCTGCAGGTGCGGCTCGCCTAGTAGCTATGAGATATGCAAACAGCAGACAACCGAATTCATTCCATATGAGGAAATACTCAAAGCACAAAATTCGACATCACCGCTCTGGCTGAACACGCTCATCCTAATGATGTTCTTTCTGGTGTTCCGCTGCCTGGGCTACGCGGTGCTGCGCTACTTGCGATGCCCCAAAAAGACGTGATATCCACACGAAGGACTTCCCCCAAAAACGTATACATATCTATCCGAGAGCACGAGGAACGAGGACTATACCAGTGATACATACGTCAAATGCTAGACCATTTAACTCGGAACAAATTTTGCTAAAGTGCGCCAATTTTGTGATTCAGTTTACTTTTCAAGCCACACACACACACACACCATTTATTATTACCTACTATTATTATTAGCCCCAACTATTACTATTATCATTGTAGTGTCTAGGATATCTAGGAGAAGTGTTGGCCGCGGGAGAGGTCGAGATCTGTAAACGGAAATCTTTGTTTTGTTTTATGCATTTTAATTGTTAGCCGTTTAAATTATTATTCGCTATGTTTTTTGCTGCAGAATCAAGAGAGAGAGAGAGAGATGAGTGGAAAGAGTATGTTTTAATGCACGTTTTAAAGTAACCCCCCGCCCCACGGCACCGTATGTCTGGCCAATTTTCCACAAAAAAAAACACACACACACATACGAGTATATGTAAATCTATATAAATTGTTAATTTAATATGAAAAAAACCGCTAGTAATTTTGTAGAATTTTTGCAAATTTTTTTTCGCTTGGGAAAAAACACTGTGATTTAGTCTGCTAGTTTTTTAATTAGTTTTAAATTGAATGCTGCCAAGCAAAATTGAATGTGTCGGAGGCACACATTAGAAATGGAAAAATGAAAAAGCAACAGCAAAAAAAAACAACCTAATCGCATAATCAACCAATTGTATGAAATTATGGTATAAATTGTATTTTGTTTATATTAACTAATTATATGTAATTAAATTTATTTAAATATACACATACTGTACATGCAAATGTAAGCAGAAATCCCGTCAAACAATATTTTCACTTCAATAATTACGGCACTGTCGAGGGCTTCGATTTGCGAAAAACAAATGTGTAATATATCTTTTTATTTCAACAAATTAAATCTAGTTGACAATATACAACTTAATAATAGTTCAACGAGCTTTGGATGCTAGGGCCTTCAGCTCGCAGCTCGGCCATGTCATACCGGGCAGTAGGTGTTGGTGTGTACATTGTGTGTGTCAGATGAGAGGCGTCTCCCAGGTGTCTCGGTCCTGAGGAGACCCCTTCCAGCCAGTTGTAGCTGGATTTGGTTCTTTACATCCTTGGCGTTGATGGGTGTTAAAAGAAAGGACACCGCGGCCCTCATATCCGTAGGTGTTATATTTTTGTTTATATATTTGTTTATTATATTTTTATTATTTTTTTGTTCTGGCTGCCAACAGAGTGAAAAATCCGAATCAACATCAGCGGAGGTGTTTCCCAGACTGAAATTAATTTCCGTTTCGGCCACAATGGACGTTCAGCAGTCACTAAAAATAGTCTTCAATCTGATGTCAAACTTCCGTTGGAAACGCAGGACCTACACCAAGACCACCACTGATGCGTTGCATTTTGTTGACTTTTTTTTTAGAGGTCGACACGAACACATTGCAGTGCGTTTGTGTGAGTAGACAGCAAACAAAATGGAACAAAAAGTGTTGTTGTATTGGTGCGGATTACGCAGCGCCGCAGTGCACTTCCCTATGCACATAAAATAGGGCCCTGCCGAACCCTGACTTAAAACCATCGGTTGAAGCAGCTTTTCAACTTACAATATGTATATTCCGCGTGCAGCGGAAAATTGTGAAAGGTCTTAAAGTCTCAGATGCAAAAAAAACATAGGGACATTGAAAAATAAGCCATATTGACACGGTTATTGATGCTGTTCCAGAATGTGCTATAGGGGTATACACGCATAGGTATTATTTCAAAAGAATACAAAAACTAAAGGAATAGGTAATATATTTATTTAACATTCAGCTGTTTTTTACACTTTGAATGCTTTCCATATTTGTTCTTCAGTCTTCTAGCATTGACTTGCCCTTGGTTTCTTTCAGGAAATATGCAAAGAAAATAAAACTAAACGCCGAGACGCCACCACACGACCACATGGTGGCCGATATGCCCCAGTGTCGCATGCAAAGTGGGAAAATATTCAGCATTAGAAAGACAAAACTGCTGCAAACAACAATTGCAATCGAAGCAGCTTTGGCACGTATCTGGAAAAAACAAAACAATTAAAAAAAAAAACACTTTCGTAGAGATATTCCCTACCTTAAGGGGAAAGATTTCGACGAGGCAGACAAAGAAGCAGCCCACGAGACCAATGTTGCCCAGAAAGATGTCCATCGACATGAGGACCAGCGGCACCCAGCTCCATTCGCTCAGATCGTACGTCTGGGCGTACTTTGTGAAAAACCCAAAGGATATTAGGCTGATGGCAACGCCGGCGGTGGACACGAGCATGAGGAGCTTGCGGCCACAGATATCGCAAAGCAGGGTGGTAACATAGCTGCCCATGATCTGTACCGCTCCGATAATGATTGTGGAGGTGTCCGGATCCATGGTGCTGCCCGATTTCGAAAATATATCGGACATATAGTTGACCATGGTGAAGAGACCGCTGAACTGGTTGGCAATCAGCAGAACAAGGGCCGGACCATACGCCCTGAGTGCAGGACGCGATACTGAAACGATTCGTAATTGTTAAAAGATCCTCTGAAAATGTTGAACCTACCAAAGTCCTTGAATGTGACGGCATCTTTCTTATCATCGCCTTTGGTCAGGGCAATCTTCATGTGCTCGAACTCCTCCATGGAACGGTTCTGATCATTAATGTTGTCGCCATCCTTGATGTTCTTGTAGTAACGGAAGGATCTCTCGGCTGCCGCATATTTCCCGATGCGTATCAGATGCATGGGCGACTCTCGTATGAACAGCAGGATGGAAATGAAGTAGCACAGCGGAAGAACCAACACCATCCAGGGTATGTCGTAATAGGCCAGATGAGTGCCCACAATGTAGCCCCCCAGCACGCCGACATTCACCGATAGCATGACCATCGCCGAGAAGGTTCCACGGATGCTGTAAGTGATTAATTTTCGATTAGTTCCTTGTGCCGTGACATTGCAGCCTTAGGCTTATCTTTGTCATTGCAAAAGCCCCCTGGCTGTGACAATAAATCATCGGCTACTTACTTTGCGTCTGAGATTTCACTGAGGAAAATGGGATGAACAATGTACATGCCGCCGCCCGTGATGCCAGCCAATAGCCTGCCCACATAGAGGTACTCCACGCTCTGGGCAAAGTAGACCAGGAACCACAAGCACTAAAAGAACACACGCACGCGACACAATGAGGCACCATCTCCGAGAGTATTCTGTCTTTTTGTTGCATGAATTTTACCGAATGTGGAATGGCCAAGAACAGCAGGCATCGTTTGCTGCCCAAGCGCCCGAGGAGCGTTCCAATCAGTATATTGCCAGTCACTGAGCCCATGCCCAGCATGGAGCCCACCCAGGAGATTTCGAACTCGGATTTCACCTCAAAGCCAATGGGGGAGTTCGACTGGAGCTTCCGCAGTGTGGGCGACAGCCAGCCAATGCCAATGCCATGCGAAACAGATATCAAATTGACTGCGGAAATGGTTAACCAGGATCTGGAATGATCGATATTGCAGCCGTCAAGTGTCCGGGAAAATACTCACTTATCAGAGTGGTCAGTAATTGGTATCGATTGCGGCGATTCAATAGGCAATTGGGACGTGCAAAGAGTCTCCCAAGCATTTTGGTAAGTGGAAAAAAGTAACTAGATGTTCGGGTTTTTGATGTAATTCCTAGTTCTTTATTAGCCTTTTGCTCGTTGCTGTCGCATTGTCAAGGTGTCTTTGTTCACTGAAATGTCGTTCGAAGGGAACAATCAACTTAAGTATCTGTATCTGGCCGGGTATCCTATGGCCATATAAAGATAAATTCTGGGCTTAGGCTAATCGCACGGGTGCGATGTCTTTTTGATAAGTTCTCGTTATCTTTGCAGTAAATCACCTAAGCCTCCAGTAGCGATTTGCCCCTGGTCTCCTCCAAATAGAAGCTAAAGTAGAGAAAGCAGGAGAACGTAATCACACTGCAGCACCACATGGTCACGGAAATCCCCCAGACGGCCACACAGATCGGGAAGATCTTGAGTGTCAGAAAAACTGTGGAGCTGAGGATGACCACAAAGGTGGATACGCACGCCGATCGAATCTGAAAAAGATTCAATAGATACTTGAAATACTTGGCATTTGGATGATGATCCCAAGACCTACCTTTGCTGGAAACAGCTCAACGAGCACCACAAACAGGCACCCAACCATTCCAATGTTACAGAGAAACACATAGAAGGAGAGGATCACGAGGGGCAGCCAACCCACCAACGATAGATCGTTTCTGCTGGCAAAGAAGGTGAAGCACCCAAAGGTGGCCAAACAGACAGCCGCCCCCGATGTGGAGATCAGCATCAGGATCCTGCGTCCGTACTTGTCGCACAGCAAAGTGGTCACATAGTTGCCCACGATTTGCAGTACGCCAATCACGATGGTGCACATGCCCACGTCCAGGGTGGTGTGCGAGGCGGCGAAAATGTCCGACAAATAGGTGGTGATGCAGAAACTGCCGCTGAACTGGTTGCAAATGAGTAGAGTCAGCGCCGAGGCATAGGCCTTGAAAGCGGGCCTGGTGACTACACAATGGGAAAAGTTGCAAGTCCTGGGTTTCAATGGGATATGGAGCTGCTACTCACTGAAATCCCTGTAGTTGAAGGACATATCGCTTTCAGCTTGCGCCTTGGTCAAGGCAGACTTTAGTTCCTCAAACTCCCTGACAGCCTTGATGTCCTCGCTTTTGATGTTCTTATAGAACCTGAAGGACTTCTCGGCTGCCGCGAATTTCCCCTTACGTATGAGATGATGCGGGGTTTCCGGAAACAGGAAATTGCAGATGAAGTAACAGACCGGCAGGGCAATAATAAAAGGGGGTGCCGTGAAGTAGCTAACTGTCGTGGATATGATGTAGCCCGTGAGAACGCCCGTATTGACGGACAGCAAAATCATGGACCCCAGACGCCCGCGAATGCTGTGGGAGATTATATTGAGAAGGAATTGATGGTGTAGTCCGCTTGAAAGACTCACTGGGTATCCGCAATCTCGCTAATGAATGTGGGCAGAACAACGTAGCAGGCGCCGCCAGTCATTCCGGCCATCAGACGACCCACATACAGGTACTCCACACTTTGCACGAAGTAGATCAGACACCAGAAGATCTGGAAGTATCAGAGATCCCCCATCTACATGGTGAAATAATTCTGGATCGTCCTTCTTACCGAGTAGGGAATGGCAATGCCGAACATGACCATCTTCCGACCGATGCGATCTTGTAGAGTGCCCGCCAGAAGGTTGCCCATGACACTGCCAATGCCCACGAGCGAGCCAATCCACGATATCTCCTGCACAAGTACGGCAAAATCGAGAGGAGACTGTGCGGTTTGCAGATCCCTCATCACCGGGGACATCCAGCCCACGCCCAGGCCATGCGAGAAGGTGGCAATGTTCACTGCGGAACGGAATATTGGAGTACTGGATCCTCTGGCCGAGCCGAAGAATTCTTACCCAGCAGGGTAACCAGAAACTGATATCGATTCCTGGCACTCAGCAGACAACTGGGATCGTCAAAGAGCGGAGCCAACCGCAAATTAAACGTCATGGCTGCGTTACCATTGCCGGACTGAATGAGAGCCTCACTTAATACCTGATCTTCCCCATTAAATCCGCGCTGCCCGCTTATCTACAGATAAACTCGAAGCCATTTACTACAGCTCTTAGTCTCTGTAAACGTCTCTGTCTGACAGATGAACCCAAAAAACACTTAGATAAAGTTTTAATCTTCAATCATAGATTTTCCCTTGGTTTCGGACAAGAACAACAAAAAATAAACAAAAGTAAGCAATGCCGAGATGGCCGAGAACCACATCGTAATCGATATGCCCCAAAAGTGAAGGAACAGGGGAAATAGCTTCAAGGTACAGAAGACCAGGATACTCAGGAATATCACCGATATGGAGGTAGCCAGAGAGCGTATCTGAAATGAGAACCGTTTCGGTTACTTTACTGATGAGACTCCTCGGAAGAGAGTTTCCTACCTTAGATGGAAAGAGTTCCACCAACACAAGGAAGAAAATCCCAATAAGCCCGATGTTGGCCAGGTACACAATGAGAATCATCAATGCCAGTGGCAGCCAATTGAACTCGCTGAGATCGTAGATCTGCGCGAAGTGGGTGAAGCAGCCAAAGGCGATGCATCCAATGCCCACACCCAAGGTAGATATCAGCATGAGCAGCCGTCGTCCAACGATGTCCACGAATATGGTCGAGGTATAGACTCCTATAATTTGCACTGCTCCGATGATGATCGTACAGGTGTTGACGTCCAGCACCGATCCAGATGAGGCGAATATATCAGACATGTAGTTGATGAAACTGAAGACGCCACTGAACTGGTATCCCATGCACAGGACAGCCGCTGCACCGATAGCCTTCAGAGCGGGCCTGGTAGCTAATGGAAGGTAAGATTAGATTTGCTATAAGAAAATCGTACAGATGTTAGCTCACTCAAATCTCTGTAACTCAAGGATGTTTTGTTCTGGACCTGCTGGGCCAGTATTGCTGTTCTCAGCTCTTCAAATTGTGCCTTAGACGTTTCTCCTGTTTGTTGATTTCTATAGTATCTGAACGATTGCTCGGCTGCACTCAGTTGGCTCCTTTTGAGAAGATATGGTGGTGTTTCGGGTAGCAAAAAATTGGCCAAAAAGTACGAAATGGGCAACAATATTCCCAAATAGGGAACGATGTGGTATGGCAGATAAGTGCTCAATATATAGCCAGCCAGTATTCCTAGATTGACAGATAACATCAGCATAGAGCTCAGGGCACCTCGAATGCTAAAAGATACTGTTTTATTGCGATCGGAATAATGTGTGTGGTATCTACGCACCTGGAATCGGCCACTTCACTGATGAAAATGGGAATTACTACATAACCAGCGCCTCCAGTAAATCCACACAGGAATCGCGCTGCATACAGATAGCCCACATTCGAGGCGCAGTAAATGAGAATCCACAGACACTGTAAAGGCAACAGATTATTCTGCTAATGGAACCAATAACTCTTCAAAAATAATTTACGAACCACATTCGGTCCGGCCATTAGATAAATGCAAAACTTTCTCCCGGCTCGTTCCAGCAGCAGAGCCATCGTCAGATTGCCGCACAAACTGCCCAGACCGAGCATCGAACCCAGCCAGGATATCTCGTCGATGTTCACTGCAAAGTCCAGAGGCGAATCGGGGGTTTGGATCTTCGTTAAAGTCGGCGACAGCCAACCCACACCAACGCCATGACCAAACATTATGATGTTCACTGTCGACCAAAATTATTATAATTCATGGTTTTCAAACCGAGATCTCTTCCTGACTCTTACCGATCACTGTGGCCAACAGCTGAAACCGTGTCTTGGGCTGCAGTAGGGAATTCTGGCAGATGTTTTTCATTTTTGCCTGCGAAATGTCTTCCAGTCGAGAGTATCTGTACGCAAATGCCGAACGGCGTACTTATGATATTCCACAAAAAGCAAAAGCTCACGGAATATTTCGACAGTAAACTTTATAGTCCGTTGTATTCGAGTTTATAGAAGACGTACGCTTACATCTGGTGGTGCCTAAATCTGTGAATTTGGATTTTGTTTTCGGTTCGTCTGGTATCAGGTGAGAGCATCGTATTTGAGAACAAATACTCGGAGTTCTGTCACCAAACAAATAGATTAAATGCCGGCCGTGTGGCAATTCACAAGTCAAACAATGAATTGCGATTTTACGAAACGAAAACTCTTGTCGTATCTCAAAAAAAGAGGCTTGTCTATGGAGGTAAAAGTAAGAGAATACTTCCACTAGGAAATGTTTTTGGTCTCCCCAAAGTAGGCTATCCTTTCAATATCTTGAAACAGAGTATTGAAAGGTCACCTGTCCACCAGGCAAACGTACAAGCCTCTATTTACAAATAAAACTAAAGTTTTTCTGAGAAATAATCTTTAGTTTGGAATAATTCTAGGTACTAATGTTATCTGTATTAAAGGCAATCATAATACTGTTAATTTTCTCTTTCATTCAGGTGTCAGGTCTCGTTACTTTTTACTCTTAACTCGTTACTCTATTTCGCTATTAGTTATATTATAGCTAATATTTACATTACTAAATACATTTATTTTATTCCCCAAAGTGTGTTGGACACTGTTCCTTTAGAGAACACTTATCTCAGCTTTAGAACCGTCTAGATGATAATGTTTATAATATTATGTCAACAGATCGTAAACAATGGCGCGAGCGAATAAGGTTTGGAAGACATTGCTCAAATAGGAAGCTAAAACTGTGATTCTTTATTACTATCCCAGTAAAAAATAAGTTAATTAATGATATAAGAGTTAAGCAAGTAAGAGAGAACGCTTTAGACGAGTGCGTCGGCAACGAGATATGTGATACTCCATTTATTGTGGATATATGTACATTAGCTTCTGATAGAAGCTATGTTATAAAAAATATAGGTGAATGCTCTTCTGGGAGATCTGCATGAACATACCTAATGTACACCTCTACTCTCTGAATAGTTAGTCAAAAATAAAGCACCAAGTTATTCCGGCTCAAATTTTAATCTTCAATCATGGATTTTCCCTTAGTTTCCGGCAAGAACAGCAAGAAATAAATAAAAGTCAGCAGGCTCCAAGTGGCTGAGAACCACATGGTAATCGATATGCCCCAATTGTGCATCAAATAAGGGAACAATTTCAAAGTGCAAAAGATCAAGAGACTCATCCATATCAATGACATCGAGGTAGCCAAAGAGCGTATCTGAAAAGAGGATCGTCAGTTTTCCGATGAGACTCCTCAGAAGGGAGAGAGCTTCTTACCTTCGATGGAAAAAGTTCCACCATCACAAGGCAAAATAGCGAATTTATCCCAATGTTGGCAAAGTAAATTATGAGAATCATCAGTGCCAGTGGAAGCCAATTGAACTGGCTGAGATCGTAGTGCTCCGCAAAGTGGGTAAAGCACCCAAAGGCGATGCATCCTATGCCCACGCCTAGGGTAGAGATCAGCATGAGGAGCCGTCGTCCAACGATGTCCACGAATATGGTCGAGGTATAGACTCCAATAATTTGCACTACTCCGATGATGATCGTACAGGTGTTGACGTCCAGCACCGATCCAGATGAGGTGAAAATATCAGACATGTAGTTGATGAAGCTATAAACGTTGCTGAGCTCAAGTCCCGCGCACAGGACAGCAGCGGCACCAAACGCCTTGAGGGCAGGCTTGGTAACTAGAAGAAACACATTAGTGAAATACGTTTTACTCTAATAAAATGATCACTTACTCAAGTCTTTATAACTCAGATGAGATGTGGACTGCGACTGCTGAAGAAGGACCGCTGATCGAAGATCTTCAAATTGTGCCTTGGACGTTACTCCTCCCTGTTGATTTGTATAGTATCTGAAGGATTTCTCAGCTGCATTCAATTGGCTCCGCTTCAGGAGATATGGCGCCGTTTCAGGGAGCATAAGACTTGCGAAAAAATAGGCAATCGGCAGCATAATACCCACGATGGGTACGACATGATATGGCAGATACGTGCTCATTGTATAGCCAGCCAATACTCCAAAGTTGAAATACATCATCATCACGGAACTAAGGGCTCCTCGAATGCTTTGGAGTAGTCAAATATATAAAAAAGAAGGATTTATTTGCATGACTTAGTTTATCAACTAACCTGGGATCGGCGACTTCACTGATGAAAATGGGAACTACTATATACAATGCGCCTCCAGTGAACCCGCACAGGAATCGCGCTGTATAGAGATAGCCCACGTTGGAGGCGCAGTATACGAGAATCCACAGACACTGCAAAATCAAAAGTCTTCCTTAGGGAACAAAAATACAACCATGATGATACGCACTGCATATGGTCCGGCCAGAAGATAAATGCAAAACTTTCTCCCCGTCCGTTCCAAAAGAAAGGCAATGGCCAGATTTCCAGCTAAGTTTCCAAGTCCGATCATTGAACCCAGCCAGGATATCTCGTCGATGTTGACTGCAAAGTCCAGGGGCGAATCGGGGGCTTGGATCCTCGATAAAGTCGGCGACAGCCAACCAACACCAACGCCATGTCCAAAGGTAATGATGTTCACTTTACACAAAGTCCATTAACGAATCTTTCGAAGGATTTGATTCCTCCACTCACCGATCACTGTGGCCAACAGTTGATAACGCGTTTTGGCCTGCAGTAGAGAATTCTGAAATACTCTTGTCATTTCGTTCAGTCTGAATGTTTTCTGGTAGTGTCTCATCTTAAATGCCAGTCCGCGTTTTTATGGGATCCGGTAAACAGCAAAATCTCATGTATGACAGCTGTATGCCAAGTATGTTGCCAAGCGAATAATAAATCTTAAGCTTGCGAGTGGGAGACATTTCACAAGATAAAAACAAAATTGCAGTTCTTACTAACCCTTACTAAGCTTTAACGTGTATCTTAGAGCTGGTTGACAGCTGATCGAGAAAAACGTGTTACAACGTGGCACAACAGCTGATTTTTGTGTATAAAAGCAGCTCCGGCAGAGCCATCGGAACTAGTTCGTCCCCGGACAGTCAAGGGGTATGTATTGACTACTGTGGTAGAGGGATTCGCCAACAGCTCTGGCGATCACCTTCCTCTTCTATCCTTCGAATCCCATTTCTTTTGGAGCGTACTTTATCCTCAGTATTCCTTCTCTCTCGGAGTGTACTTTGACCTCCGCAACGATTCCTCTCCTTCTAATCAGAATACTATATAGTATTAATACATATACGTTTCGCTCGAAAGCATTTATAGCTTGAACGTATTCATGGAAATCTCTAATCATCGGCACTATTGTATGAAATCCATTACTGAGGCTGATCAAGTTGTGCTGGTGAACGCGACCAATGATTGTCTTGGATCTAGGGTTTTGCGATGCTGAGAGGGCACTTGAGAATTGAGCCCACATCAATAGAAGGATGAAACCAGTGCAAATCATAACCAAGACCCGACACAGGCAAGTCGAATACGACTATCGGAAAAAAATCTCGTTTGAAAATACAAATCATTTCCTACAATAATACAAACACCAGTTATGGGAAAACCCTTGGCTATCTCTCTTCCGGCAAAAGCAACAATGTTCCACAACAAAAACAAGGCCCCTTCCTCCTGAAGTACCAAAGAAATGATTTGATTTTTCTGCTTTTGCCATATGGTCGGTATCACCAACCTTCTAGTCTGTTAAAGTATAAGTCATGTATAGTAAGGAAAAGAACCACACTTCAAAGAAAAAAAACCTACAAGAAAATAAACCCCCATCCCTCGGCAAGAACAACAACGCGTCACTCCCTCAGGAAATTGGAGCCTTTCTCGTGTATATTAGTTTTGTGGTGGAAGTGGATGTGTGTAACTGTAACATCCAGGAAGAAACGGTTCCGTACCCATATAAAAAGTACAGTCTGTCCGTCCGTCTTGAAAAGTGCCTAGATCTCAAAGACTATAAGAGACCTATAAGAGACCTCATTCATTGGCTACGATGCCAATTCAGCGAGCACCAACCGCAGTAGGATACCTGGAACCAACAAGGGTCTCTGCGGAGCTCTGGGGAGATAGATTGGTGCAGTAGCCAGGGAATAGGGTGAGGAACAAGTCCTCCCTTAGGTCCCGGGCCCTGGGCAGACTAAGATGCTGTACCTCGGTCTAAGAACTTCCCTACACAATTGTATTACCTGTGAATAGTATTTCCCTTAACTGTGTCTCCTATTAGTAGGCTACATTTAATATTGAATTTCTGTTGTAAGTGTAAGCATTTACCTTTTTGAGCTTTTCTAAAAATGTGAGATAAACTTGTGCTTTACAGGATTAAAGCTGAGTGCAAGTCTTTTATATATATGGTAGCTTTTATTTGCATATACCTACAAATAAAGGTCCCATTCACCCACAGAAATTAGTATTTTTTCCTCTGAAAGTTCAGTAAATGGCCTTAGGACCTCACAAAATGGTTTATTATTAAATTTTAACAGTTTTTCCGATAATAAAATTGTGCACACAATTTGTTACAAAAATCCGGAAAAAAATGTAGTCGGCTTTCTGGTATTTTGTCGAAAAATTTACATCAAAAGCATTGCAATATGTCTATTTTAGGCATTTAAGCGAAGTATCCACAGATAACATTTCGACCATTTTTTAGTTCAAATATTTACTTGGTTGTTTTTTGAAAAACTTTTTTTACGACAAATAGGAAAACAAAATATCAAAGTGGAAGAAACAATAAAAATGGTCAAAAACTTACACATTGGGTTGCTATATCTTCAGGTATATCTACCCCATCAACACGAATTAAAAGTCCTGTGAAAGGTCTTACAGTTCTCTTCAATTGATGAAGTTTTGTAAAAATCTGCGCTGCAGATGTTGAGGTAAAATAATGAAACTCATGAATGAGGAATCGTCTCGTTTGCTGATGGGCGATAAGAAAAACGACTCGTACAGTCAAGTACCCGTATAACTGGCTATAAAGAGCATCTTTATCATCCGAACAGATTTCTTAATTGCCCAGAGACAATTATTCGCCATGTGGTTGGTCCTTATCGCACGTGTTCTTATCTAATCAAAAATATATTCCACAGATGTGTGGGCGAAAGCTGTGAAAGATTGAGGCTTCAACACTTGAAGACAATGATGGCAGCTGTGCTTTCCCATCAATATGCAATAAATGGCGAATTAAGGCGTTTTGAGATTTTAATAAAAACATTAACAAATCATTTAAAATTAGTTGTAATACTAGAGGTTGGCCAAGATGGCTTCCGTCGTCTTGCCCTTGGTTTCGGGAACAAATATGGCTATGAACAGAGCTGCGCTGAAGGACATGCTGGCGAACATAAAGACGGTCCCATGCATACCCAGTGATTCTGTGAACAGGGGCATCAACTGCGGGAAAAGATAAAGTATTATAGCAGAGTTATAATGCAACCAGGAGGGTTGACTCGGACCCACCTTGATTGCGGCTGTGGCAATCACCCAAAGCACTGACATGAGTATCATATTCGCTGTGCTGCGTACTTTGGGCGGCAGGATCTCCGCTATGACCAGAAAGGGTAACGTCAGCAGACCGCTGGCGGCCAGGAGCAGCATAAACGAGAAGCCAGCCACGGGCACCCAACCGAAAGAGCTGACGTCGTAGCCCAGGACCTTGAGATAGCTATAACTGCCCATGGCGCTCTGACCCAGACCAATGCCCACGGCGGACACGAGCAGCAGGATCTTGCGACCCGCTCGCTCCACCAGAACCGTGGACGCGTAGCAGCCGAGCAACTGAATCGAGCCGACAATAATGGCCGACACAGTGGGTGCCAGACTGGCGCCGGCCTGCTCGAAAATCACAGCCGTGTAGTTGACCATCGCAAAGCAGCCGCACAACTGATTGAACATCACGAGGCCCAGACCAATGAAGAAGGCCTTTCTCGTCTTGACATCAGCTGGAAACAAGAAGGGAGTTCTTTAGCACCTCAATGGCAGCGTATTTTTCTCTGAATTACTCACCAAAGTCAGCACAGGTTACGGCATGTTCGTCGCCATCATTGTCATTCCCATCGAGATCTGTCTTTTCTGTGGGCTTCAGTTTTTCCAGCTCCAGTTTGAGATCTTCACTGAGTTCCTTGGCGGGGCTGAACTGAATATTTCGATAGTAGCGCAGAGATAGCTTAGCCTCCTCCACTCGATTGTGCTTGGCCAGGTACTCCGGTGTGTCCGGCATAAACCAGAAGCAGCCCACAAACAAAAAGGATAAGGTAGAGACAATCCACGACACTGTGGCATAGTCGAAGTAGTAGCCCAAAACGAACGCCAGGACAACTCCACCATTGCATGTCAGCACCAGGAATGTGCCCAAAACACCTCGAACACTAAGCAACAAAAGGAATCAATCAATGGCACTCATTATCAACGAAGAAATCTCACCTGTCCGATGCGAGCTCTGCTATATAAATGGGTATCACCGAAAAGCAGCCGCCTCCCGCTACGCCGCCAATGAATCGAGCAATAATCAAGTGCGTTGGAGTGCTGGCAAATGGTATTATAATCCAGCCAATCTACATACAATATGGAACTTTATTTTCAGCTAATCGATGCGATGCAGGTTCATGGTTCATACCAGATTTGGCAGCGCCATCCATAGGAGGGACCACCGCCGGCCGATCTTCTCCGCCAGCCAGGCAAACAGAATGCCCCCGAAAAGACCGCCTATGCAAATGGTGGATGCCACCCAGCCCTGATCCTGAGTGCTTAATGGTCCCGTTTCCAGGGGACTATCCTCGCCGCCCAGTTCCAGAAAACTGGCCGAGGGCCAGCCACAAAATGCTCCATACGATATGGACACAATATTTACTGCGGAGAAGGGTAAGATAGATATTTAATACCCTGATTTTCCCCCAAACGTATGCTATATTGAATGGATATCTTAAGTATTCCGATTTTAAACTTGTTTTAGTAGAATATCCACTATAATACACATCTTTGCAGCACTCTCACTTGAGGTTTACTAACCACTTATGGCAGCCAGGTACTGATATTTAGTACTACCCGAAGAACTCATGATGTTAATGTGATTTTTCCACTGATTAAACTAGTGTATACAGTATGTATATTCATCTAAAATGCATTGCCCGACGACAGCGAATCCTCGAATGCTCGATGGGCGTTGTTTGCCACTAAGTTTTCACGCTTAACTAAGCGAAACCAGTGGCTGGAAGATAATATTTATACATTGCATTAGATCGTAAATGAACACGAAACCGCCAGAGAGCCAAGTTGTAAAGAGAATGCGCGACAGGGAGCGCAAACTCTGTAGATTACGGGAACTACTGCTCGTATATGGTACGGCGTTATCACCGCACCTCATTATGCTCATAGAGAACTCGTAAGAGAACGGGCAGAACAATCAACTAAACGAAAACTAATATATTACTGCCTCAGGGTGTGAATGCATATTTGTTGTTGCTAACCCCCGAGGGATTATTTACAATTATAATTGCAGTGCCCAATGCTTTTGAATTATTGCCCATTTCCCTGATTTGATAGCCGTTCGACACAGCAGCTGTAATGAGAGAGAGAGAGGGGCAACAAAGAGAGCGAGCAGGAGAGAGAGAGAAAGATTAGGCATTGCGATTGTAAATTACATACTAATAAGGCGCAAATATTTGCCACTGTCCCCAGATACAGATACCCGCCGCAAACAGACGTCCGTCCGAATTATTCCCCATTAAAGGCGTAAATTTGGATTACTCTTTGGCCAGCTTAGGGTCTTGTCTCTGTTTGTTCACCAAGCGAAAGTACTCGTGCCGGAGCTGGTTGTGTGATCATGAGGATGATATGGGGGCCACAAGGCGTGCTAAGAGCATGCGCCTCAAAAGAAAAGGAAAGCCAAATATGATGGCCAATCGTAAAGATATTCTGTCTCTACTGTTTCTGATTAAATTTCAATTTGTCTTTGAAACTTTTTTCAGTGTAGATTTGAAGCAGTTTGAAAGATATGAAACGCGTGTCCCAACATTTCGTAATATTAACAACGTTCTGGACGTTTTTTTGGCTAATCATTAATTAAAAAGCAATTCCAGCGACTTTTATCTTGGGTAATTTCTGGGCAGAACCCACCCCGTGCGTGATAAGATTAATATGATCTTCGGAGAAGGGCAAGAGTACCACAGAGTGGAGTACAGATAAGACGAGGTTCCCGCCCCCCCTTTACCAGAATCATTTCTGAGCGGATGAGTAAGAATTTAGAAGGTATTTCATGTCGGTATGCAATAAGAGAATTCGATGCATATGTTACTGTCCTTCGTTAAATCGAAACTAATCTACATTTATTATATTAATACTATCGTTGGTATGCGAGCTAGCAGGTGCATGCCTCAAATGTGTGTGGCAATGTGTCCATTGGTTATAGCCGAGCCCTTGGCCACTCCCCCATCGTCCACATAGCCGAGCTCACGTTGCACGGCGGATGCCCGTCGGTTGCGTGTTTCCGGCAGCAGGGGCAACGATATTAAGCCCACAAATATGGAGGCACCGGCAAAGACCCACAGGTACAGGACCAGGCCAGGAGCAATCGAGGTCTTGACCGCATTGAATGCCTGCAAGAAATATTGACCAAAATCAATTTGTAGTCGCATGCATGTGGCAACGTTGCTGCGGCTACCAGAATTGAACGTACCTCAATCATGCCGAAAAGCAGCAGCCAGGAGAACGCAGAGGCCAGCGAGTAGAGCACATCATGAAGCTGTGCGAAGGATACGAGATGTTTAGGCTTTCAGGAGTGTGTGCCTTAACGGCATGACCTACCTTTGTGGGCAACACTTCACTGCTGACAACCGCCGCCAGTGGGTACAGGCCGAAGCTGACAAACAATAGCTGGATGGCCAACAGGAAAATGGGCAGGTAACGCTCACAACACGCACCCAACATCCAGTCTTTACCAAACTGCTTGAACAGGGCCAGCGCAATGACCGCGGCAGCAGACATTAGCGAGGAGAGGCAAAGCAGAAGCTGCAAAAATCAACCAATCAAAAACAAATCGTGAGCATTGCTGCGCTACAGGTCTTAGGGGTCAAAGCAGACCTTGCGCGGCAGACGAGGGCCGACGAGACGGGCCAGGAGTGCGCCCACGCACTGGGCTGAGGCCAGGATAACGTAGTTCGTCTCCGTGGAGTAGCCAGTGCGTCCCAGGAAGTCGGCGGCATAGTTGAGCTCCACAAAGACGCCGCTGAGCTTGGCGCAGACGGTAAGCAGCAGGCTGACAAAGATCAGACGAACAATGTAGCTCTGGGGCATGGGCGTTGAGCCAATGTTCTTGCCCAGGCTCTTCATCTCGGCCTTGAACTCAGCCAGTTCGCTGAGGTATTCGGGCTTCTCCCGGTCGTCGATGTCGCGGATGCCGCGGTACCAGCGGAGCGACTTCTCCAGGCAGGCCACGTTCTCGTTACGCATATAGAAGTGCGGGCTCTCCTGCACAAACGGGAAGCTCATGGTGAACACAAAGGACACAGCACAGCCGACTATGTTGACCAGGTCGTAGGGCACGTAGTAGCTCAGGACAAAGCCCAGCAGGATGCCCATGGTGCGCCACAGTTCGATGGTGAAGGTGAGTCGTGCCGCCTTCTCGCGCGTCTCGGATATCTCGTTAATGAATATGGGCAGGACGACGAAGGCGGCTCCAGCGGCAACACCCGTGAACATCCGCGATGCGTAAATGTGCACAATGTCGAAGCCAAAGTGAATGCAAAACCATCCGAACTGGTGAAAGTCAGCGTGAAAGTCGTTACTGTAATTAGGCAATTCATGAACCCATCAATGAATTGGACTCACAATTTGCAGCAGGCCCGACCAGAGTAGCACCGACTTGGGTCCGATGCGCAGGGCCAACACTCCTGAAACCAGAGCTCCGATAGCAGCGCTGAGGAAGAGGTATCCTGTCAGCCAGGCGGTGCCTGCTGGATCCGTCACCTTGTTCAGCGGCGTTCGAGTCTCCGACTCGTAGAGGGCCATGTGGGCCGGTGTTATGCCAAACATAATCCCAAAGTTAAAGCAGAGCAGGTTGCCTAAGTGAGGGGGAGGAGAACTGGGGGTAAGTGGGTGATATTGTGCATCAGGGTAGTGTTCGGGGGCACTCACCAATGGCTGTGGCAACGCTCTGAATGGCCCGGCCACTGACTTTCGTGGGTAGGCACATGATGTTGCTCCTGTTCCGATCAGAGTTGATTTTTCCGCACTAAATATTCCTGCAACGCGCTGCACTGAAGCTACACACTGAGAGTCGGTGAATGGATGCTGTGCGGGTATTTATGGCTGCGGGGCCAATGGCTGTTATCTTACCGTGGAAGCAGATAAGAGGCTCCCCGAAAAGAGTCGCCCGCAGCGTTATCCAATTGAACCCAACGGAGGACCGTGACCAGACCAGAGTAGTGTTTCCCACTTGCTTATGTATAGTTGAGTTGGCAGCTAAAATGAGCAATATCTATGCAGATATATATTTGCCCAACGTGAGTCCACAAGATGATAAGATGTGAGGACTGTCTACTGTCTGCCCTGGTTGGCTACCTCTGTTGCTGCTGCTGATGAATGTCCGGATGTCGGCATCTGTGCTAGGGTAGCTCACAGCGACATCAAACAATAAGTTGGTTAATTGAAATGCGAATAATTCTTCGGAGTCAATTAAAAGCAATTGCAGAGGCAATTGAGAGGCAACTATAAACGATTGAAGAACATGCAAGTGCATGAGTGCAATTTTCCTTTCAACTAAAACTAGTTGCGATATGTTAGTTAAAATGCATTTTAATAAGAGTCTTCAGGCCTATCATATATTAAAACATAGAAACTCCATTTCAAATTTTAAACAGTCAAACCCGCCAATATACGCGATACTATATCGATATGGGCTTATCGATGACGATAGCTGCGATCGTAGCCATACCAAAGCTGACTGCTATGACACGATAAACAGCTGACTTTTGCCGGGAGTTTTTGTTTATCGCAGTCTTAATATTGTTTAAACTGTAAAAATACAATGGCCAAGGCACCCGAACAATGGGGCGAGATATATGCAGCCAACGAAGCCATTTGGCAGGCAGAAGAACCCACTGCCAGGAGCAAACAAAATGCCTGGCGCACACAAAGAATATTGCTGGCCCAAGCCACGCGGTAGATTCTCATTTATTGTAAACAAAAACGGCCTTGCATTAACATTTTAACAAATTGCAGACACTTAAATGATGCGATCCATAATGCTGTAACCAAAGAGCATTTTGATAAACTGGAAACAGGCAGGAGTTCTGAGGAAATCGTTAAGCAGCGCGTCGAGAGATGCCAGCAGATAATAAAGGGGAGTCGGCGATGCGGTTCCAGGCAATCACTGGTGTTTAGAATGCCCTCGTCCAGCGTATTTGAGCCTGCTTGCCGGGGCACCTATGAGAGCTGCCAGCACAATGAATTGGCTTCGAGGGATTTGCACAAACTACTAGCTCCTAGTGGAACTAATGATAATGCGTCGCGAAATTCAGTCGCACATTTCCCAGCAACAGGACGACTGGTATCTGTGGAAACAGCCACCAATCCAAATAAGGGGGTGCATTTGAATAATACTGAGGAGTCCGATCCGAAATGGTTTGGCTTTCGTACTGCCCGCGAACAGCAATCGCTGGATGATTTAAAGGTATGTACATATGTATGTGCGTGCTAATCAACGAAAAATTTGTCAAACCTTCATTTCTGTTGAAATCCAAGCAGAAAAAAAATCCACAGGGTGTAAGCGCTCCATCCGATATCATGAATTACAGGAAAAAGACTCTCGGAGGACGGCGTACGGTTCATTCAAATTATGTGCCGCCCACAGGGCAAGGGCAGGGCCAAAATGACAACCGCAGCAAGGGGTGAGAACACATTTCGCATTGCGAATCGTATTGCATTAATTCCAATCTCCCAGCAGTTCCAGCGCAGGCAACATTCCGGCTTCGCTGTCGCATCTTGATGCTCAAATGGTTGAGCAAATAATGGGGGAGAGCATGCACAACTTCAAGAATGTGGGTAAGTGTATTTCGTATGCGCGCTATTATATGTACACAAATATTGATATATTCAATTAAATTGTAGCCTGGGAAGATATTGCCGGCTTGGAATCTGCCAAATCAACATTCCTGGAAGCCATTATTCTGCCGCTGCGGCGTCCCGATTTGTTCACTGGCGTGCGCTGTCCCCCACGAGGTGTTCTGTTGTTTGGTCCGCCTGGGACCGGTAAGACATTGATAGCCAAAAGTATTGCCTCTCAAGCCAAGGCAAAGTTCTTCAGCATCAATCCCTCCACCCTTACTTCCAAGTGGGTGGGCGAGGCCGAGAAGCTGGTGAAGACTTTGTTTGCTGTGGCTGTTGCCCATCAGCCATCCGTAAGTTAATGGATGATAAAGCCTCTAGGCGATGCCAATACCTTTAATGCACTTCCCAGATTATCTTTATCGATGAGGTTGACTCACTTCTATCGAAGCGTTCTGGCAACGAGAACGAGAGCACGTTGCGCCTGAAAAATGAGTTCCTGATACATTTGGATGGTGCTGCCACCAACGATGAGCATCAGATTCTGGTTATAGGAGCCACTAATCGGCCACAGGAGCTCGATGAGGCAGTGCGTCGACGCTTTGTGCGCCGCTTGTATGTCCCACTGCCCACAAAGGAGGCACGTCAACAAATCATCGAAAAGATACTCGCCCAAGTGAAGCACAGTCTTAGTTCGCCCGAAATCAATGAGCTGGCGGAGCTCACTGATGGCTACTCAGGGGCGGATGTAGATAGCCTGTGTCGTTATGCATCAATGGCTCCGCTGCGTTCGCTTACCAACTCCCAGATGGAGGTTATACAGCCGCATCAGGTAATACTTCTGTCAGAGTCTTGTAACAACTATTACAGATTGAACTTTTATAATTTGCAGTTGCCTGCCGTAACCATGGAGGACTTTAAAAAGGCTCTGAAAGTGATTTCCAAGAGTGTTTCTCCGGAGGATTGCCAACGATTTGCCGAATGGAATGAAATCTATGGCATCAGACACTGAGAAAAGGTGATTTTACATTCGAAGTAAGAGAAATTCATTTGATAATTTTCTTGTTTTTTCTTTTTGTTTAATAATACTTTGGAAACTATGCATGAACACAAAGTAAAGGAAAGACTATTGATTAAATTGTAAAATGATTTTGGGGTTGTATCTAAATGTATCTCCTTTTGTTGAAAACTCACAGCACATCGAAATTACATTTGTATACATAAATTAATTATAATTATATTACATATTATTATATAATTATAATAATTAACTAATTAGCTAATCTAACTATTTACAGAAGTTCTTCGAGTTAAAAACTATGCGGGGGCAGTTGGAAAATTGCGTGCGAAGTTTTCTTATTCCTAAAATTTGTTTTCGCCACTTTTTTGGCACAAGAAGAGAAGCCAGAGGTGTTTATAACTATTATAAAATACCATTTATAAGAAAAGCGTTTCACATTCACAATTAATTTAAGAGGTATGTACGAGTATACGATAAAACTGACTTAACACTAACTAGCAAGGACTTAAAGACTATTCTAATCCCTATTCTCTTTAATCGGCGGAAATACGTAATCATCACTCAGACTGTTAATGTCCACATACGTGGTCTTTGGGCTCAACACCCTGTACAGGGCATCGAATGTGGGCCGCTCCTCGGGCTCCTCCAGCCAGCACTGCAGCATGATGGTGTACACCTGCGGTGTGCAGATGTCCGGCCGCTGCAGGCGGTTTCCTGCCAGCAGGAAGGGTATCAGCTCGCTGTTGCTTATCGTGGGATACGGCGATGCGCCCAGCGTGCCAATCTCCCACAGCACCACGCCGTACGCCCAGATGTCGCTCTTGCTCGAGTAGACATTGTCCCGAATGGCCTCGATGGAGAGCCAGCGCAGGGGCAGCTAGGGGGAGAGTCAAATCCGTATAATGGTGTGAGAGTTTCCTGGAAAATACTGAACTTCTGGGGGAACTCAGACTCACCTTTCGCGTCTTTGTGTTTGTGTAGATGCCATGCCTGGACAGGCCGAAATCGGAAATTTTCAAGGTCTTGTTATTGTCAATTAGCACATTGCGAGCAGCCAGGTCTCTGTAAAGTTAAAAATAATTAAGCCCGAGCCTAGCTTTGTCGTAATCCTCTATCCTCGCCATCCCACTCTTACCGATGCGTAATCTCTTGCTCTTCGAGGAATCGCATGCCGTTTGCTATCTGCAAGGCAAAGTTGTGCAACTCTCTGTTGTCGAGGATGTACTCAAAGGGCTCCTCGTCCTCCACAATGGTATAGGTGGCTTAAAATGCACAAAAGAACAATGAGCTAACTCCTGTCTCCTGGACCACTAATTGCCTTTATATCTTTAACTTACTTTCGGCGAACGAGGGAATGGTCTCCCGGCCTCGAGCCGGTCCCAGACTATTCGGAGGACCAGTGGAGGAGTCCTCGGAGCATTGGAGCTCTATGCTTTGGCTGGATGCCTTCAATTCGATATAGTTGACGCTCTGGTTAGACTTGGGCAGACCCCCTGCAGAGGTGGAGGTGCCACCACTAACCGTTCTGGCCATGATGGGCTTGCAGCTGGTGTAGTTGGCATTGCGGAGCTTCAGTTTACCTGCCTCCTGCCGCACCGTTCGCAAATAGCTCAGCTGAGGAAGCATTTTGGAAGTACTCGTACAATTTAAGGACAGAGCAGTTGATTAAATGGATTTCTATAGTTACCAAATTGCCCCGTCCCACATACTCCATAATCATGAGGTAGGGCGCCTTGATTGTGGAGCAGCCCAGAAAGCAGACCACATTGTGATGTGTGCCAACACCCTTGAGCATTTCAATTTCAGCCAGAAATTCGGCCACCTCGTCGGCAGTGGGATTCGCTATATGGAAGAGATTCACGAGAGCTTAACCCATGGCTCTTAATGCTGCAAATAGTGACGGCAAACACTCACGTTTCAGCTGCTTCACAGCCACAATAGTTGTGCCCCGCATGCGTCGCAGGTTGATGGCCGTCGCCTCGTGAACGCGTCCGAATGCACCCTCTCCCAGCATGCGTCCCATGTGGATGGCCGAGTGTGGCACTTCGAATATGTCGGCCAGACCCTGGGCCTGCGACTGCTGAATGGGAGTGGATAACGGAATGGAACGTTAGCGGTAAGAAGCTTAACAAAACGGGAGGGAATGGTTCTAGCTCTCACCTCCACATACTTGTCCACGTAGTTGATGTTGTCCTCCATTCTGGAATGGATTCGGAGTGGGGAATAGGCATGGGAATTAGCAGGGGAATCGATCAGGACTCAAAATCTTATCACTTACTCGATAGCGGAGGTAGCGAAGGTTTTCATATAGATCTCCTCTTTCTGCAGCTTGGCCTTGGTCCGGGCCCGTCGGCGGCGCACCATCAGCAGGTAGAGGCCGGCCAGGATAACAGCAATAAGCATAGCGCTCATAATGATAATGGAGTTGCTCTACGAGTACAACAATGGACAAACGCATTTCATAATATTTCCTTTTTCGAGTCTCGTCCCTCGCTTGTGTCTGCTTACCACGTTATCCTCGTCCGAGAGCACTATGGGATTGGCTGGCACTGTAAAATCAAATAACGTTGTTTTGTTTCATGTTAGCATTTTGGTACCGTGGACTACTCCTACCTGGTACCTTGGTTACACTGCGAGGCCCTTCACAGCCAGACGTATCCATGATGACGGCCTGCAGATTTAGGGAGGCCTTTTCCTTCAGCTGTGTGCCAAGCGGCAGCCTCATGTTACCCTCGAAGCCCTTCGGTGTGGGCTTGAAGTTCAGCTCGCTCAGATTATAGGCTCGAATCAGGAGATTTTTTAGTACTCCTCCCCAGGGCAATGAAGGATTCATTTCTTCGTTTATTCTGCAACGAAAAAATGCATGCATATTTAGGGTACGAGTATCCTCCTCTCCACTAGTCTTTGAATCGTAACATCATTTGCAGTAGTTAAGCTCTTCAAACTACTTGCAAAGCTCTTGGATGAGTAAACTCAGCTTTCTTGGCCAAATTAGCAAGCTGCTGCAGGGTGCCCATGCAATCATGGAAATTGAAGGAACTTTAAAACTAACTGGTGATGTTGGTGCTGGCAGGAGAGGACGAGAATGCAGACGTGCTGAGAGTCGAGAATTAGTTGCACTCTTACAATTACCATATCGAGTGACTCTTAACTTTCTCTTTAGAAAAAGAGTTATTTGTATGCTCTTGAATTTAATTTTACAGCCAGACACTATCCATTTTAAAGATGCCTGCTTTGTAATCAACATATATGTATATGCTCCCCCACGGCAAAGCAGCTTAAGGCAGCACATGATGCAATTATATAAAGGTGGTCCACTCCCGCAACGCGCTCTCTAATCGGGTCTTATTTTGCTCAGCACAACAGCAAACTTTGTTCTTTTTTCTCTCTCATCGAACGTGGCGTTAAAGCGCTCTCGGTAAAGCTGAGCGTAAAATACGACCCGAAAGAGAGCGAGTGGACCACCTTTATATATTTACATAATTTTTCTTACTTCCGCAATCGATCTGTCGTGCTCACGCTTTCATTAGAGCACGGACCTATCACTCGCTTCTTGAATATCCTCTTAGAATAGATATTCAATCCGACAAAGTCTTGCACGGACCCCCCGCGTCTGGAAAAGCTCAGTAGCTCAACATAATCTAATTAATAGTCTCTCTCCTATCCAATAGAACGAAAGCTAATTAACATAACAGTTCCTGTTAAGCGTGCAATTGATAAACAGGCGAAGGACACACAACCGTTGCCATGCCAAGTCACCGCTACTCACTTTAATTGCATTTTGTAGAGACGAAGCGTCTCGTGCAGGTGACTGGCCTGCTCCTTACGCAACTGCTCACTGGCCTGGATTGAAAAACTGATGCTAATGGTGTCGTTGGTCAGCATTTTGGCAGCAGTCAGGACCTTGGGTGGGGTTGGCGCCAGCTGACAGGAGCACTTTCCGGACACGCATTCTACGGGATAAAAGAACAAAAATTACATAGCTCCTCACTAAAATCAATTGGTGTGTCAGACGCACGTGGAATAAAGATGCGAGTGGATCTCCGGACCAGGGCATTAGAGGTCTCCACGGTGACCTTATACTGACAGCCGAACATGTAGTTGCAGTCGACCGACTCCACATTAAGATTGGGGTTGAGCGGCAGGTAGACATAGCTCGATGGCTTCTCCTTGATGCCGTACTCGCTGCAGGGGGCATCCGGACAGCGTGTGTTGTTCACGGCACTGACAAGGACATTGTAGGAAGTGCCTGCAAAAGACGGCGCGGAATTGCAGGACTGGAACATCATCCGGATCAAGGGATTAACTCACCTTCGGGCAGGTTGTCCTGCCATCGCACCTGTATGCGCGGTATCTTCTCCATGTACAAAGTGACGTTGGTACTCAGTTCCGTGATTTCCCCATCGGTCATTGGCTGTTCATCAAACAAGAAGAGTGCACGCAAAAACATATAAACATTGCATCTTATTGCTGGTAAATAATAGAGTTTTACTTACGTTGATGCGTATCCTGGTTCCTGGCTCTGCTGATCTCACATCTGATGCTTTCTGGCTGGCATCTGGCCTTGGGATCCCCGAAGTTGTTGCCATTGTGGTGGCACCGGCAGTGCTACTGTTGCGCCCTATGCCCGAGGCAGTTGTAGTGCTACTGTTGACCCCCAAGTCCGTGGCACTGGTAGTTGCACAACATATCAGCACCAGCACCAGCCATTGCTGGATTATGAAGCTAATGCCAATTGTGTGTGTGAACAGCATTTTGAGGATCTGGTCTGCTCATAGCTGTTTGTGTTGTGGGTGTTGTTTGTTGTGTTCACTGCAAAGCAAAAGCAATAAAGAGAATCCCATATGAATTCGGTTCAGGCATTAATTTTCAGTCGAATTGAATGTATTTTTCGATGATTGCATGGGGGTAGACGGTTCACTGCAAAGGAAAAGCAATAAAGAGAATCCCATATGAATTCGGTTCAGGCATTAATTTTCAGTCGAACTGAATGTATTTTTCGATGATTGCATGGGGGTAGACGGGGCAATTGCTTAGGGGCTTCCATAAGAGAAGGGCCCCTGCCGAAAAATAGAGATAGTTTAGTTTTTAATACGTTTTGATTAACTTTAACTAGTTTCTGCATGTTTTGCTGGACGACTATTAGCTTGTGAGTCGCCCCAAAACCTTTTCCTGAAATTGTACGGTATGGTACTTTCAATTGCTTACATGTACGTGTATACCAGTAAAACTTAGCAATGAAGGGAAACCCAAACTCATTGCATTGTGAATTGCATTGTAAATATTTTAGACTCTGGAAGTTCTAGCACACACTTCGATAGCTCTACATGTGCAGAAGCAGAAGTGAAAGTGGAAGATGTGCAGGAACAGGAGACGAAAATGTGCCGCGTAGATGTTGTAGGGTTCTGAAGACGCATTCCGCATTCCTTGCGCAACGCAAAAGTGCAACCCGACTCCTGACTGTCTGTGGCATGCATGTGATGGATGTGACGGGTGGCCGTGTGTTCTGTCTGTCACGCGGTAAAGCCACCTGCTCCGAATTACTTCTCTAGGTTTCTGCCACGTGATTAAACCTGTTATTGCTGCAACAACAGTCAGCCGTGTTCCGGGCGATGGCGACTAGCTGCCTGTGGGACTGGGTTCCCTCAAACCTCAAGCCTTGATTCCGTTGATGCAAGATGTGAGTTTAACGCTTATGTTTATGTTAATTATCCACTCAATTATGCATACATATTATAACTTCAGGCTGCTGACCTTTAACGCTTTCATGCCTGTTGTAATATCCTTCATTTGTCCTATTGTCAGGACCTTTGTTAGCCGTGCGAGTGAGAGCCAGAGTGAGCAAAGGTAAAGGTGTCCTTCTTGGCAACAAATAATATTTGTCCGATAAATTATCTGATAAAAACCATTCGCTGCCTGGCTTAATGGTTCAAAGGAGCTTCAATATTTGTGATAAGAATTCTCTCAGTACATATTGATGCTAAGTATCTGGGCACATAAAAGATAGATAGACGGACCTGTTTTCAGCAATGAATTGTTCGCAAAACAAGTAGCAAAAACAACTTTGCTCCTCGGAAGTAAATTCTAAGGAGACTAGACTTTCGTGGCATATTGAGTCGAAGCGGAAAGCTTAAATGGCATTTGCCATATGCGGGTTTGCGTGCCATGCCCCCCTCATACGTATAACACCCTGTAGAAGCGCTTAACGTTCCAATTACGACATTGTAATGCCTAAATGTGCGCACAAAATATGTAATCAAACACGAATGCAAACAAATTCAAAGCGAGAGCACACGGCGGAAGGCACTGGCCATTGAGTTTAAGTGAGGGATTGGAATGTAAACACTAATTATCAAATTTCTGGGCAATTAATTAGTGGGCATTTGCGTTAAATTGCCTTCTCCTTTGAGGGGTCTGTTTTGAGCTTTACAAATATTCCGCATACGCCGCCGCGTGGTTTCAGCGGTATCGAATGACAGCGATTGAGGGGCATTTGTCCCTTTCCCACATGAGCGCTTTGGTTTTATGTCGAGGGAGAGAGGTCAAGCACATTGACCACATATGTATGTACATATACATATTTCATGTTACCTTTAATTGAAATTCCAAGAGACTTATTAATATTATTCCTTTAGCCTAATAGCCATTCTACTCCGTATTAAATGCACAAAATCGTACTCAAATAAGAAACATTTCTGTTTGTGGTAGGACTTTAAGCAAATTCATTAGAGAAGAGCTGCAAAATAAGAGCTTAGATAGTTCGACTGCACTCGAAGTTACAACACTTGTTGACAAAACAGCGGAGGCAAACACTTTTTACAGCTGATTGCACATTAACCAGTGCATACATATTTCTGTTGGAGATGGCCACGGGCCAGGCATATAGGGCATTTAGGCACAAAGGCATCAAAGGCACACCCAAAGAATAAAAGTCCTATCAAGTGAATAGTTACAATTTACAAATTGATACCAATACCAATCTTTTCACTTACATATTGCAATGTTTATGAAAATATATGATCACGAAGCACACACGTCCATCTCTAGCTCCTTTTAAAGTGTTTTCGCGGCACAAGCAGCTCCCTCTTATCATTCGCCATTATTATTATCATTTTCCTGATCATTACGGCACCCATCATCATCGCTATTGTGTTGACAAGACCCGCTCTCATGTACATTGGCAATTTGCCTAAGCGAAGGCGAGTGCTTCTGAGTGTGGGGCTTTAAATTTAAAGTGGTCAAGTCTGAGTGGAGAAGCCTCTTCAAATTATTTTATTCTGAGTGAGGGCAGATAATGTTGATTTTGAAAATGAAGCATTCGAATGTGGCATAATACTGTTTGCTATGGATACCAGAGAACTGCAACCGCCCTGAATTTCCATTGAAAATGGAAAATGTTTCACCAAAACTTTATTATTTGCGGTGGCTGTGTCCGTCCAGTGGTCACTGCGTCAGCTGGCATCCCCGGAATCGGAAAATCGAACCAAAACCAAATTACCAAAGAGTGGATATTACATTCTGGCTTTCACAACAGTTGTTCATCAGATTAGGCGTGTAGCCAAGCGTAGTTGGTGTACATTTATGGTTAATTAAAATAGGTAAACAATTTGCAGAAAACCCACAAATCGATAAGAAAGTCAAATCTCGGTGCCCAAGCGATTATATAATATGTATAGAAAATCCCGCAGATAAAGGGCTTCGATTACAGGACACCTGCTACCTGCCACACATACTCTCGTATTGTTTATCGATTGTATTCGTTAATGTCCACAAATAAATAAATAATACAACTAATGGTAGCAGAGAAGCAGCAGCAGCAGGAGCTTTCTTTACATAATGATGTGTCAAAAGCCGCACAATGGGCTGCAAATGGGAACCATAAATAATGAGTACAAATATGCCCAATCACAATCGCATATTTGCAATCACAGTCAGTATGATTCAGCAGTAAAGGCTTTTATTTAATTTATGTTAAGAATTCAAAGTACCGTCTCTTGCACAGCCATTTTCAGTTGAAATATTCCCAGACAGAAGAAGAGAAGCCCATTCCCGCCCCTCCAGATTGAAAGCGTTTTGCACGTGTCTGACGCGTTGCCAGCCACTTACCGAGTACACAGCCGACGTGGGTGTGGGATTAATGTACGCGCTTATAAATGATAATACCAACAGAGCTAATTGTTGACATGACATTAGCAGCAGCAGTGTGGCAGTGGCACAGGCAGTATCAGGCGCCGTGCCAGGTGAAAGCCACTGAGGTAGCCGGGTCATAAATCAAGCCATGTCAGCGCCCCGTTTTTATGGGTTCTACGAACACTACGAACACTACGAGCTCCAGCTCTGGGAGTACTTTGTTTTGGTTTAACGCCCAGCCCAGCCCAGCCCCCACCGACAGAGTGAAAAAACAATAACCTGGCAACTAGAGAACTCCATGAACTTTATTATTCGCCAAGGTCGAGGAGGGCACTAGCCTAGCTTAGTCAGAGGGTTTCCCCCCAGCTTTATGTATTCCTAATCATATATGGACCTGCCCTTGGTCTCCTCCACACACACCACCACATAGAAGAGACACAGAGCAGAGACAGAGGCGCTGAACCACATGGTGGCCGCCAGGCCAAAGTGGAACATCATCAGCGGGAAGGTCTTCAGAGAGGTGAAGGCAAAGAAGCTGAGGCAGCCCAGGCAAATGCTGGTGGCCACCGCCCGGATCTTCTGCGGCAGCAGCTCCACCAGCACCACCATCGTCACCGAGACGACGCCCACATTGGCGATGAAAATGATGAGAGCCATCAGGGTGACGGGCAGCCAGGAAGCGTAGGCCGATAGATCGACCTCCGTCTCCTCCGCATAGAAGGCGTACAGGCCGAGGCCGGCGGCGCCCAGCCCACTGCCCGCACAGGAGACCACCAGGAGTATCTTCCGGCCATAGCGATCCACCAGATACATGCTGGCCAGGGTGCCCACGATCTGCACGGCGCCAATGATGATCGTGTTGGTGTTGGGGTCCAGCTGGGTGTGCACCGCATCGAAGATGTTGGACATGTAGTTGATGAAGGCGAAGGTGCCCGAGAAGATCTGGGCTATCATCAGCATCAGGCCCGTGGCAATGGCCTTCAGGGCGCGCTTATTGCCTGCGAGCAGGAACCGAGGAGGGATGATAAGCCAAATTAATCAGCCACTCTCCGGGGAAAAACAATTATTTAGGTGAAAACTTACAGAAATCAGACATGGTGAGGCCCACGGAGCCTGCGTCCTTGCTCCGCTGCTGGATGGCCAGGCGCATTTCGTCAAACTGCTTCTGGTAATCGCGCTCCTGTTGCTTCGTCACCTGCGGACCATCGCAATGGCGGTAGAACTTCAGGGCGCGTTGGGCCTCCTCCTCGCGTGACCAGACGAGCAGCTGCTGCGGTGTCTCCGGGAAGCGAGTGGCCAGGAACAAATAGAGCACGGGCAGGCCCACAACGGCACAGGGAATGACGTGATAGGGGATGTGGGAGGCGACAATAAAGCCCACCATAATGCCCGTATTCATGGTCAGGGTGAAAAACGAGCAGAGCCGCCCACGAATGCTGTCAGAGGAACAGAACGAACCGATGAACAACAATTCCACTTGATGGATGAATCGATACGGAGCCTGGACAGAACAGGTACTTTGTCTGTCATCTCCTCTCCGCTCTACATCGAAGTGTGGCTCCGATGACGGGGACTCACCTGTTGTCGGCTATTTCGCCAATGAATATGGGCAGCACCACGAACATCCCACCGCCGGTTAGACCCGCGCACACACGCGCCACATACAGCCACTCGATGCTCTGGGCGAAGTAGAACAAGAACCATATGCACTGTGACAAGGGAGAGACAGGACATTGACACCTTAAGTTGTCTCTTAATGGGTTAGGGTTATCGAATCGCCAAAAGGAAACACGCACCGTGTTGGGCAGGGCCAAAGCATAGAGCGACACCTTGCGCCCGAAGCGATTCATCAGGTACGAGAAGGAAAAGTTCCCGCTAATGCCTCCCAGGCTGATGGCAGCTCCCAGCCATGAGGCCTGGCCCACGTCGATAAAGAAGTCCAGGGGCGTATCCTTCTCGGAGAGCAGCTGTGGCAGCATTGGTGACAGCCAGCCCAGGGCAATGCCATGGCAGAAGGTTATCAGCGTGGCTACAAGTAGATCAACAAATTACATCATCCGGATAATGCTCTCCTCCATATGAGTGAAAGGCCCCTCCCAACCCCCCTTCGAGGGGGGGAGCGGATTCCTAAGTCAACAGCTCAAGTAGCTCATTTGCATAGGCACAAAATTGAATTTTGACCCGTCAAACTTTGTTGCGTTGGGGCTTTGTACGACTCATATCCTGTTCGGGGACCGTCAGTGGGGGGAAGCCCTTTGAGTTGACGACGCTATCCGCAAACGATTCCATGCTGTGCAAAGGCTTCATCAAATCCTTCACTTCTACTCAAAGTTTAGGGAAATTGAACATTCCATATCCAGGTCTGCTCTCTGAACTCTCACAAAACTTTCCATTCTTTAGGTGTTTCCGTAAATCTTTCCTCTTATCACTCATCGCAAAACACACACATACCACTCAATGTGACAAGCAGCTGGCGACGAAACTGCCTCTCGAAAATGCCCGTTTGGAATATGTTGAAAAACATCTTTGGTGCCTCTTGAGATTCCAACAGATTTTTGTATAGTTGTATAGCCTAGCTTCTAGTATTTTTTCTAACTATTCTACAGGTTGTCCTTTGTTGTCTCGGGATATCACAGTTTGGTTTCCACACTACTTCAGACCGACGTCTGCTAGGTTACTTTTTGAAACTCTTTCGGGAAAATCTTAAACTCTGGTATCCTTTTTCCATGCTCTATACTGTCGCGTCTTGATTCGGTGGTAGTTCCAAAATGACTTGTGAAATAGCTTCCGACCCTCCATTTATACAGCCTCTGGCACGGGTGTCGCTGCCAGCCCGATATATCTCTTCTGGTATCTAAATCTGTTGGTAAACATTTACAAGTACGAAATATTTCATCTAAAACAGCAACGTCTTACGTAGATGCTTCTTGGCTTGTGAGCACTTCCATCAAAAAGCGATTGTCTGGGTGGGCGGTGTCACAAAGCTGTTTCGGCTTTTATTGTATGATATGCACATATCACTACTCCACCAGTACGAGTGTGTTAAGTTCCTGGGGCTACTATCTAAAGTTCGTGAATCATTTGACAACGGAACTGACGCGGTTAGAGAAAACTTCGTGTGTGTGGAGTGGGTGCCTTTCAGCTGTGACGTTGATACATGGCAAAAGTCTCTCTCTGTTTCTGTTGCTAGCACGCCCTGACCTAGGTCAATCTATACTAGAATGTTGTGCTTGTACTAGTAGTAGTAGTAGTAGTAGTAGTAGTATCTGCGCAGTATGGTAAAGTTATAAGGTAAAGTAACTACGCGGCAAGTGGCAAGTGGAATAGAGTAACACTGTTATGAGTTTCAAGCACATACGGTTAGGGTGACACTGTTATGACACAGGGTGACGTGACAAAAACAAACACTGAAAAGAGCTTTTAGTAGGTTTACTTACTCCCGATTTGTTTGCCACTCATGGGGCGTATGGGGGGTGGTCTTTAAGTTTAGTTTGCGATAGGAAACATTTCTAGTAGCTTTCGTTTCGATAGATAAAAACCCAATGGCTGGTGGCTTAGCGCACATAATTTATTACACAAATGACACATTCGAAGCCCAAGCTCTGGGCCAGTGTACACACCCACTGCAAAGTTAAAATCCACACAAACAATAGGGTCCCCATCGCCGGCCCCCACTTAACACCCTTAAAATGAAATTATTCCCCACACAAAATCGGCAATGACTTGTCTTATGTCCAGCAGAATCGATTTTTTCACTAGATAATTGAATATATCATGTAATAGGGTGCATAAAATTGACAGCCTTCAATGACGTCGTTTAAAAGTAATTATTTTCCATGATATCCAGACGGTTACCGGCTTTTTAACTGCGCTTGTCACATTGCCAATAAGGTGACGCACTTCATCAGCTGCCGGTGACAAACCGCACCCCTCCCCAGCCACCACCCCAGATAATGTATGGGGGTGGGGGTGAAGCATAAAACCGAATAAAGTTCGTTTAAAAGTCGTGTGATAAGTCCAAAGAACATTGCAATCAATAAAACTGCTGAGGAAGTTGAGAGAGCACAGACTTTTCAGATATTATACACATTAAATACAGCTTATTGATAGCTTCGAATGGGGGCCGGCTGTGTGCTGTGCTGTGGCCCGAGGATTGCCGATGTCTGCCTGGGCTGACAGCCTAAGCTGTGTCGGGGGACCGCAGAACCAGACCAAGACGATGGATAGTCATAAATTAAATGCTTGTGTTTTAATCAATTGATAATTTTCCATACGTTTTGCCCTGCAGGTACGCGGTTGTCAGCCAGCAAACAAAAGTAAAATCACCAAAAATAATACCAAATATAATCATAAATAGAATACTTTGGAAGCAGTGCTGTTCTGACCCTGAAATACCCTTTATTCTATTTAAATAAGGCAATTATCATAAGATCTAGACCAAGTTGAAATAAAGTTAAATGGATATCCTGCCTTTGTATAATTCTAACATACCCTTGTCTAAAATATTAACCAGGTATCAAAGTGAAAAAAGACATACCGCTACCAAGAGCAACGACTTTAAGCCCTTATCGCGGGCTGTCCTGTGAGGGGCCCCAATACATATGAGTACTCAATGCCGCCAACTTATTTGATATTTGATACGAATACGAGTACGAGTACGAGTCTGTATAGAACTTTATTTCTTTTTGTCGGGGTTTTTTTTCGATCCGATTCGATACGATTTTTGGCCGCGTCACTTTCAGCACTTCTCTAATCGGAATACATCGTTATCGCGCCAGCACTCGATTTATTGATAAGTTCAATTTGTTTTCCATTTTACGCCAACTTGAACAAATTGTTTTGGTTTTGGGTTTTGGTTTGCTGTTTCTGTTTCGATGGGAAAACGAACACACAACCCAACCTTTCCTGGTCGTCGAATGGAAAACATTATGGCTGTGGGGGCCCGAATGTGAATGTGAAATGCTGCTTCGATCATGTGAAAGTGATAAATTTAGCATTTATTGATGATAGATATATATGTATGATGTTATATAAAGAAATTACTATTTCTGGCCTTCCATTGTTTAGTATTTTATTTCGGTGTAGACTTTCGATGATAAGAGACTTGACCAATAAACCAAACAGCTCGAAGTGCTCGAGCTGAACTTTACACCAGCGATGAATCGCCCAAAGTACTATAAGCTATAGACGACAAATACAAAAATACACATCTGGGGTAAATTCCGCTGAATTGCAGTAGTATACCAATAAAGTCCTATGGGGGCACACACTTTGGAGTGTTCAATGTACAGGTCAGTGCCAAGTTTATTCTGAATACAATGCTTGCATTCACAGACAAAACGAGGGGGTACGTTGTGAGTTGCTGCGGACACCGCAACTCTACATTTATACCCGATACTTAGTCAGTATGGCTCTCCTCCGGACGAAAATCTGGGGCATCCACAAATCTGAGAGACTATTAAGGCTAGATTAACCATATTTGGTATCCGCACTTCTGTTAGATCTCACTATAAAACTTATATCTCAAAATTTCGCCCCACCCCCTTCCGCCCCCACAAAGGACGAAAATCTGTTGCATCCACAATATTGCAGATTAGAGAAAACCAAAAGCGCAGAATCGTATAAAATGACTATATCTTCTAGGCGGTCAGAATGAAGAAAATAATTTCATTCTCAATCGCTCAATCGAACCTGCGCAAGTGTATTTCAAAATTTGTATATTTTTCAAAAATACATTTTTAGAAAGACTTTTTTCTCTAAGTGTAGTCTCCGACCGCCAGTTGTTATATTTTTCCCCTCCATCTTTAATTCTACTGTAATTTATAACTTTACAAAATCACTTCTTTAGGCGTTTTAAATTCAAAAACAATATATTCTTGTACTTCAGAGAGTACCCTGTACAAAAAGGGCAAGTTCTTCGAACTAGTTGCTACCAGAAACCAGCAACGAAGTTCAGTACAAAAACAGCTAAAAATGTAGTTTACTGCTGAAGATTAAAGACCATTCGTTAGGTTGAATACTGCTGCTGCAGGCCGTCCGCCGATTCCCTCCACTTTCCATTTTCTGCCTCTGGATCTGGACTGCTTTCAATAGTCTCTACGATTTCCTTTTTTTTAAGAGATTGAGAGAATGATTTGTCGCATCACAGCCTACTTTCCCTTTCAGTCATTGATCGATCTACTAATGGCCGAAACGTTGGTTAAGTTATGTCGAAAATTATGGCATATATTGTCTCACCTTTGGTTCTACTTTGGGAGCCTTGAACATGGCACTCAACTCTCGCGGATCATTGAAAAGGAAGTGTTTGCTGAGCTCTTGCACGGTCTCCGCCTCGTGGGCACATTTCGCCAATCTATCCCGATCTTTCTTGCTCAAAATAGTTTTTTTATCTTTACTTTCCAGCGTTTTGAAAATAGTATGCAAATCCATAAATACATCGCCTATATCCTTACTCATGTCGTGCATATGCAGCTTACACGACTCTAGTTCGGTTCTCATTGCCTGTAGCCTCTCGGCGAGGATATTCGGGCTCTGCAGCTGTGACATGACCTTTGGAATGATGAAGCTCATCCTGATGTCATCCTGATTTGTGGCATCGGATTGCGTGATTGACTGAAGTTCCTCTAAGCTTTGGATCACAAGTTTCTCGATTTGTGAATCCAAATTATTTAATTCTCTATCGCTGCTACTTATGGTAGTTATTTCATGTAAAGATTCCATTTGAGTTAATCCAAAGATTGACTTTGGTTCGTTTAAGGTTTCTGGTAAAGTTTCTTCAATAGTTTTTGGCAAATTTTTGTCTATGTTTTCTGGCAATTTTTCATTTATTTCTATTGGCAAATTTTGATTAAATTTCGACATATTGAAAACAAGTATGAAAAAGAAAAAGTAACTATTCCAAGTCGAATAAGTAAATTACAATTTTCCAGCCTGCTGCTGCGATGAAAAACTTGAAATTATTTGTAATGCTTTAAGGGGATTCCCCCGCCTGCTTGACGTCGGACTCTGCGTAGCCACTGCAAATTGATTTGTTGCTTTTGACTATACAAATTATCCGATCCAGATTCCGCAACCGGATAGATATATTCACTCTCTATGATTGTGCGTTTTTAGTTTTCTCGAATCTGCAATATTGTGGATGCACCAGATTTTCGTCCTTTGTGGGGGCGGCAAATAATGTCTCCAATAATCAATTAATTTAGTAAATATTTATACTCTTCTTATAACGGCTTTTTTATGCTAATTAAAGCTGCAAGTATTTGATAATAGTTCGATCAAATGTGTTTCCGTTTAAGAGTTTTTCAAGACTCCGCATTGAAAGGATATTGCAGATTTTTTTTCTCCAATACTTCGATTATTTGTGTTGATTGCCGCACTCTGATGTCAGCCGGCAGTTTTCATCGAATGTCATTTACGTTGATTTAATATCATTTAATCCTTCTGGCAGCCATGGATAATTTATCCATAAAATCTGTTAAATGGCTGAAATTGATACCGCTATCGAGAGGCATGAGATTTATTTTTACATTTTTTTTGGCATCGCTTTTTTGGTCAACAATTGCACGCAAAATCTGGAAAATATTCTCGTCAAATCGTTAAACCGTTTGATTTTCGATGTCCATGTGTTAATAGTGGGGTTTTTTTTTCTTGGTGTTCGCGTATCCATGTGTGTGATTGTCCCTGAGTTTTTTTTTTTTTTTTTTTGATTTGCTCGTATGCGGTTGACTTTTAAAGCTTTTCCAATTTCTGTGGCCCGAGTCCACGCCCGCGGCCGAGCAGTGACTATTCGTGAAATAATTGATGAGATACGAGAACCACGACTACTGCCGCCCCTATGCCACCATACTGGCAGTTTGCGCCAGTATATAGAACCATTTAGCTGTATTTGTTAGATAGTAAATAAAAACTACAATAAAAAGAAAGCAATATAAACGGAAAAAAGACAAAGAGAACCCAAACTATGACGTCTAGCAAACATCTGTGCGAATTTGGAGCTTGGTTTGGCAGACAGTTCATGGGAAGTGTTCGACAAACGGAAAAAATGATGCCAAAAATGGGAATGGAATTGAAGCATCGGGAAAATGTAAAGGGGTAACGAAGTGGAAGCTACAGAATCAGAGGAATTCATTTGTAGAGCGATGTGTAGATTGGTGCGAAATTCTAATTTAAAGTCTTTTTGTGTTTTGGTAACCGGTTAGGAACTTGTATAAATTCAGGGACTTCGGGACTGCATTCTCTTTCCACAAATATTTAATGAATCTAACGAGGACAATATTTATACTGTTGTGCATTTACAATACAGCGTCCACTTTGTGTCTGCCCAAACCACAGGATTGTGTGCAAAATTAATTGCACGACTAGCTCCCGCTTTTCGGGTGACAATGAGAGTCCTAGTATGTTGGGGTATGCAAGTAATTAAGCAAAAATAATTAAAACAGAACTTTTGGCAGTTCTTTGATAGTGTTGCTGCGATTCTGGCCATGTTTTCTGGCCATTTGTTTGGGTCGCTCGGAGGCAATTATATATCAATTGTGGCGCGTTTCTAAGTTGATTAAACGCTGCTACTTAATCATGTGCTGACTATACGAGTAGTAACATATATATTGCTATTCTTATTTCTGGCTGCCTTTGTTGACCATGCTCTCAACAATAAATAACATGCTTTTGAGCTGTAATAAAACCAAGTGTCCCGAGAGGTGGGAGAGGCGAGTCGGTGGGCGCGAGGGCACACGACGAGAGAGTGCGATAATTTTTAGTTCGATAATTAGCGGAGTAACTAAACTGACAAAATGCTACGTACTATATACATATGTATGTATGTATATGCGGGAGGTGGGTGTTTGCGTGTAGTATATAGGAACACAATCGCACACGAACAAACACTCAATACTATTGAACAACTGGCGACACATTGCTTATCACTTAAAGTGTCCGCTGCCGAATAGGAAAAAAATGTGAACAAAAAATATAACCATAACCATAACCGTAACTGTAGCGATCAAAGCCCAATCTAATAAAAAAATTGAAATTTCCCAGGCCCAAAAACGAAAGTGAAAGGGGAATGTATGAGGGCGATGTCTCATCAGTTCTTGGGGAACGGCTGGGCTGGGCTGGGCAACCTGAACTTGAATCAGTCGCATCTACCATCGTCGCCCATCTAGATTGATCAGTGATCAGTGTCAAATGGGCATATCAATTGCGCAGTGCGTGGCTCCAATTGAAGCGATCATCAATCAGAGCAGTAATTCACTCAACGATAAAAAATAATGCACCGAACATGAGAAATTATTTGGGAATTCCGAGAAATTCCAGAGCATTTACCTTACTCACGAGAGTATTTCTTCAACTCGAGTCTGCTATCTAATCAGGCAGTGCATATTGGGAGGGACGGGACACATGGCTGCCATGGCAGTTGAAGTACGGTACGTACTACTGCTATAAGATTGTCAGATCAGACCGTAGCTCATCTTTGGACTTACCATCTGGCTTTCCATTCTGCTGCCGATGGATGATGGATGATGGACCCACTTAGCTCTATGAAATCCACTATTAATTGTTGACTTTTCCCGATGATGGTGATGGTTGAAAGCTTTCAAGGTTTTGTTTGCGTTGATCCAACACTTACGTATGGATATGCTATTTGTTTCGTTTCTTTTCAATTGTAAACAATTCGCACATCGAATTTTTATTAATCACAAACACACACAAATACTGAAGCTATTTTTAAAGTGAGGGAAATACTCAGTACTCGCACTCGGACTCGTACTGGTAGTTTCCGCTGTACAAAGCAATTATTATCTAATAATTACGATTTATTTAAATTTCCGTTTGACGGTTTACACATTCATTGAGACACTCCACTCGTTAATTCTGTGTATTATATGCACTTTTGTTTACATTTGTATTCTGTATTTTCCTTTCAGCGGGTTTCCTCTTCGCTGGCGGAATTACTTTTGCTATTTTCTTTCATCTTTTTTTGGCTGCATTTCATTCAATGCAAACATAATTCGATTTTCAATTCATTTCCGCTTCCTCTTTCACAGCCAACCATCTTTCACAATTTCAATGCAAATCTCTGGCTTCTTCACGTCACTGTTGTAATGGCATTTCCATTCAAATTCAGATTTCAATCTTGAACTTTTTGACCCGCCATTTGCTTTTGAATTTCGGGACAAACTGGTCGAATAATGGCGCCGATTCGGTCCGGCTCTAGCGGTAACTGGCGCGACGCGTATCGACCGAGACGGAGGCGGAGGGAGAGTGTGAGAGAGAGACGTGGAAGCAACAAGCGTTTCAGCCGGAATGATAACAATTGTTAACGTTACGACCTGCCTGCCAAATGTCTTGGGCGCTGCACGAAAGCTCTGGGGGCGGCGAAAGCTTTTACAAAACGCATGTTTCGGCGTGACTAAAAGCTACCGGTACCGTACCGTACCGTACCTTTGGTGTGCGTGTGTTTTGCCTTTGGCGTGAGTACAGTGGGCCCCAGCTACGAAGGAAAATACGTGGAGAAATAGTTTTGTGTGGTGCGGAGGGAATTGTTAGAGGGAAAAGTTAAATTTCAGCAAAGGTTTCAATCGTTTGATCAACATTTATCAATGCCAACCCAAATTACGTTGATATGAATCTATTTCTGGTGCTATGTTATTTCTATATCTTCTGAAGCAAAAAGCATTGATTGCCAAGATCAAATCCTTTCATCATAACCGTAGAAACGATAAATAGATCCTTAGTCGGAGCTGGTTAATGGTATTACATATGTATATACATATGTACACACAATGTACTAAATTGTGTGAATAAAGACGAACCCTGTTCCTAATCAACTCAATATTCATGGAAAGAAAGTCTTTTAACCACAATAATTCCAAAATATTAACAATAGAAATTTAGTCTAATCTAGTCCAAATGCAGGCACAACTGTTCTGTAAATCAGTATCCAGAGAATCAGTATATCCAGAGTGCTCTGATTTCTCGATCATTTTGCCTGGCCTCCAAACATCGTGGCTGGGGAAAATAAATATTTCATTATATTCGTAGATCCCGTTCAGTTCAGTTCCTATATTATTCTAGATTTTTTGGAAAGTGACAAATACTCGTTTCTTATTACTTCAGGAAAAATTTTATTGACTTGTGACAAAATATCGTTTTAAGATGCCATTTACGTACAAGGATCTGATAGATGTGGCCATCGGGACGCCGGAATCGGGCCATGTCAACTTCTATGCCTTGCACGTGCTCCTGTCGAATTTTGCCCAGAAACTGGATTGTCTGGATGAGATTGTTGAGCAGGACGAATACTTGGCCTCCAACATACGCATGCAGAGCAGCTTGAGTGAGTATTCGCCAGTCGATCAGTTGCAGATTCCCAGAGAAGGATCCTAATCTACTGTCTTGTGTCTTGTCTTCCTTTAGTGACTATGGGCAAGCCGGCCTCTAGGTATCGGCTGGTGGGTGGTGCCGATACAGAGGAGGCCCCCGCGGAGGCCCCAGCCGAAGATGCTCCACCACCGCCAGCTGAGGAGGAACCGTCCGCTCCAGCTCCAGCAGAAGAAGCAGCAGCCCCCGAGCCAGAGCCAGAACCAGAACCGGAGCCGGAACCAGAACCAGCAGCTCCCGAGATAGAAGCCGAGCCAGAGCCAGAGCCAGAGCCTGCTGCACCGGAAGAAGCTCTAGTGACCGCACCCGAACCCGAACCCGAGCCTGAAGCCGAGCCAGAACCACAGCCCGAGGCGGAACCAGAACCAGAGCCAGCCTTAAAGGCAGACGAGCCTGAGGCGAAGAATGCAGAGCAAGAGGAACCCGCCCTTATCTCAACCGTATCGTCGCGCACCTCCCAACGGGGTCGCGGCTCGCAGCGCCTCGAAGGATCCCTGTTGGGCAACATGACCCGCCTGGAGAAGCGAATGTCCAAGGTGGAGATGCAAAAGGAGCAGGCCGTGATGGAGATGGAGACATTCGTGAAAGCAATGACGGGGCAGATGAAGCTGACCATGGAGCAGCTGAACAACGTGACCCATCTGCTGATCGACCGCAAGCCGAATCCGGACCGGTTCAAGCTGCTCCGTCACATTGCCCGACAGCTGCGGGTCCTGATGCGCGCCGCCGACGACGAGGTGTCCATCAGCTGGTCGAGCGGCGAGGCTGTGATCGAAGAGATGGAGGCCATGGAGGAGGAGATGGAGGATGAAGAGGAGGGATCCTCCTCTGCGCCCACGGAGGTGGAGAAGCCCGAGGAGGAAGAGACCCTGGATCTAGAGCAGCACCTCTGCTACTCCCCCGATCGCATGCTCAGCGAGCTGTTGGAGCTCAAGTCGCAGTTCTGCGCCCTCACCAACAAGACTAACGAGCTGGCCGCCGCTCTGCTTAAGCAGGATGCCCAGCAACTGATGAGCTCCATGCAGGAGCTGCAGGAAACAGTGCGGGAGATCAAGCTGTACATGGCCACCAACCGGGAGGCCACCCAGAACATGCAAATCCAGATCAACGCAAACATGACCCAGATCGCGCTGCTTAAGAAGTCCGTCACGCACTTGGACGAAGTGAAGATCGACAAGACTGAGGTGGAGCTCCTTCTAGCCGAGAAGGTGGACTTCGATCAGTTGGCCACGAAGGTGTCGCTGGAACAGTTGGAGGAGTACAAGGCGCGGCTGGAGAAGCAGTTCTGCGAGGTGCGCCACATCATCAGCCTGAACGAGAAGAACGTCCTGCAGATCATCGACAATCTGCGCATGACCCTGGGCATCGATGCCCTCGAGCTGGGCCTCAAGGACTTCCGCGAGCTGATCGAGAAGCGGGTGGCCATGATCGCCGAGGCCCTGCAGAAGTACATGGAGATGACCAACGACGACTGCGCCGCCGCTGCCGGGCGGGTGAAGGTCCTGCAGAACCTGTCGTGCATCTCCTGCGACACCCCCTGTGTGATGCGCTCCGTTGAGCGCTCCAAGATTCCCTCCTTGCCGGCGGCAAAGGGCTCCACTGGCCTGGGACCGCTGGTCACGTACGAGCTGGGCCAGATCCGCAAATCAGGCATCATGGGCTATTACCGCAAGGACGAGTTCCCCCACTGTGCCAGTGCCTGGAACAAGGGCACTGCCGGAGCCCCCATGGTCAAGTGTGTGCCGCGTCATGCCGGCGGCACCCACACCACCCACACCGCCGACGAGCACATGCAGAAGGTGGTGCTGTCCAAGAAGACCTCCGGCTGGGGATAAGTCCACGAACATCAGTTGCACTTTTACATGTATTTTCTTTTTTCTATCGACACGAATCGTTTTTTCACAGATTCAAACTAAATTTATAATATGCCAGTGTTAAATCGGAATGTTTTTCGTGGGAATATTGGTTAAGGTGCAGACATTTGACCTTCGTTTCTATTTCAATATTACTGTAAAGGCAGATTAACTTCATTTCTCTCCAGCCCCAAGTGATCAGACCCTACATTCCCCGCTATATTTTCCCCAAAACAGGATACAGCAAGGATGATGTTTCAATAGTTTTATTCATCATAACTTAGCTTAGTATAAATAAATATACAAGTGCAACAAATTTGTGTCTACTATCTCAATATATGGACGCGTATATCCTTAAACATAGCAACAACGATATCTATCTATAGTCTAGTGGCCCGCGTAGCCTACCCTTGATTGCCATAGTCCAAGTCCGAGGGGATATGAATAATGTCCCCGTGTGCAGGAGCCTGCGGGAGTTCACGATGTCAGCCGTTGAGGCGCCTGGAGTAGATAGATGTCATCGAACGCACACTCGCTCGTATGAACCGAAAGACTTAAAGGATGATGGCATGGTAAACAATGGTGGGCAAATCGGTGACCACGTACACCTAGCCAACGGAGGGTGCGATCTGCTCAAATTAAAGAAAGGTTTAAATAAAGTAACAGTATTTTAATGATATGTAAATCTTGGAAAGGCTATATCTCAGATAGAGAGGACCAGATCGGTGAAGGACCAACTATCCCAGGATCGTGAGAATCCAGACTGTCGAACTGCATTAAAATCTCGACTGTGAAAATGAGGCCGATTTTTGGCAATTTTTATGATGTAACCATCATGATTTTTTGCGAAAATCGTGAGGAAATGGAAATCCCTTTTTCCGATGGCAGTCGATTGGCAGGACTCTCCCCATCACGAAAAGACATGCCGCATTCCGATCGGATGCCGGATAGCAGAGATATAGCGTGCAGAAAACCCAGTATTCTCACGAATACAATACTTCGGAAGGCTATATTTCAGACAAATAGGGCCAGATCGGTGCAGGACCAAGTCTCCCAGGATCGTGAGAATCCAGACTGTCGAACTGCATTAAAATCTCGACTGTGAAAATGAGGCCGATTTTTGGCAATTTTAATGATGTAACCATCATGATTTTTTGCGAAAATCGTGAGGAAATGGAAGTCCCTTTTTCCGATAGCAGTCGATTGGCAGGACTCACCCGATCACGAAAAGACATGCCGAGCTCCGATCGGCTGCCGGATAGCAGAGATATAGCGTGCAGAAAACCCAGTATTCTAACGAATACAATACTTCGGAAGGCTATATTTCAGACAAATAGGGCCAGATCGGTGCAGGACCAAGTCTCCCAGGATCGTGAGAATCCAGACTGTCGAACTGCATTAAAATCTCGACTGTGAAAATGAGGCCGATTTTTGGCAATTTTAATGATGTAACCATCATGATTTTTTGCGAAAATCGTGAGGAAATGGAAATCCCTTTTTCCGATGGCAGTCGATTGGCAGGACTCTCCCGATCACGAAAAGACATGCCGAGCTCCGATCGGCTGCCGGATAGCAGAGATATAGCGTGCAGAAAAACCAGTATTCTAAGGAAATGCTAAATCCAAATCTTCTCAGACAAATAAATGAGGCCCTAAACTAAGGAAAAATCTATGATAGAAAATTCAAATCTCTACACTGGGATATTTTATGGATATTCTACGTTGCCGACAGCTCAAATTCTACTCAATAGCGGAACTTCCTTGCATAGCTTTATTTTATTAAATAAATTAGATACTCAGGGTTTTATCTTATCATTTCACTGGTTTATTTTTAAGGCTTCTTTAAAGGCGACAGCCCGACAGAATTTATGTTAACCATAGGCTTGTTCTTGATCTGCAGGCTGTAGCTTGGATCCCCGATGACCAGTGTTCAGATTCGGATATATGAAACTTTTAGGTGGTCACCGGCTTCCTGTGGATCAGATTGGATGAATGGGAAAATGGAATTCCAGATAATTCTGTGTTTCTGTGGACACTTACCTGCCGGTTAGGTTGCAGGAGACCACGGTGAGAGTGAGAATGGCATGAGAACGGGACAAGGTCTCGCTCATTGCAGTGGCAGGCACTGGTCGACCGGCAGAGCGACACGTTGGATGATCGGCAACCTCACGAGCTGAATTGACCTCTAATTCGATGAGGCCGAGCATCACAATGTGCTTCAGTGTCTCGCGTATATCCTCTGGGGCCTTGTCGCTCTTGTTCGGCGGGAAAAGATCAGAAAACTGTTCCTGGGGCAGCTCCACAATGGAGCAGGTCCCAATGAACTTGCACTCCTTCTCCAGTTCGGCAGAACATCATTGACGGTCGTCCGAACCCTTGGTGTGTTTTTCCGAGCACAGTCTGGTCATTCGCCAGGAGGGTCATCTAATAGCCATCGAAGTGCACCTTGTTTTCCCAGGACACAGATTTGCTTCAAAGAGATTTTGTTGGGTGGCGTTTCGGTTAATGGAAATGGGCAAGGCGGTTATACCTACGATACCAATACCCCAACAAAAGTGCACCTAGAAAATGCCTCTTTCCGGCGAAGAGCTGACAAACTTTCACAATTAAATTTGGTTTGATAATTTTGTTGGAAAATTTTAAAATAAAACAAACGATGTTATCCGGATGAAGTGCCAAAAAGTTATGAGACCTGACTGCCCAAATCATGCATATAACTAAGCTAAAATAAAACTGAAAGCAAGCCTACTAAGATTCTAAAGTTTCCGTTTTTCTGTTGCACGAAATTGCGTCACAATTTCCAGAGCCCACTGCCTATGCTTTTAGCCTTTTGATGCTTTGATGATAAGGAAAGTTCCGGATTTAGGCCCCACAACGACTTTAAGAAAAGCTTTAGGACTGCATAAGTCAGGAGCGGATACTGCAACTGTCGCACCTACAAGGAAGCAGATCGAGTTCGATCGGATGAGTATTTAAGGACATCCTGGACTGTGGCATCTGTGGAGTACAAGTATTAATTTCATTATCTACTGCAGCAAATAGTGCTAGTTGCCTTAAGGTTTAAGGATGTTGCACAACATTGTTAATTTCAAAATACCAAATTCGAGGAGTTGTACAACACTTTAATCGGGCATTGCGTCAAAAAAAAACCAAAAAATATTGGAAAAAATAAATGTTTGGCAAATCAAAGCCCTGAAAAAAACTAACAGAAAAATGTTCAATAATTGCGACCAGGAAACGCACACAGAATTGGACTCAGAAAGGTAAGGGACATAACTATAACGTGCTTTTCGGCCAAATCAAAAGTGCATTGTTTTAGAGACTTCAGGGAGGAACGCTTCAACGAATCTCAGGACCATTTCTACTTTAACTATGTCAACAAACAGAATACAAGTCTGCAGAAGAACCAAGAAAATGATGCAGAGGAAAAGCTGGCCAGGTAACAGAATTCTATCATCTATAGTGGCCATCGATTAGATTTAAAAACCGCGCCTTTTAAAAACCTCTTTGATTCACAAATTACCTAGAACTAATTTTTTGCATCCGACATGCAGTGAAAGATAATTTGTCTAACAAAAGAAACATTTGTTACATTAGATATTTGACGTTTCGTGCGAAGGCATACTAGACCGTTTGAAAAACTTGTATTTGTAGTAGACAAATCTCAAAGCTGCTTTCTTCCTTTTTTCCCAGCACATTTCAGGCCAAAGAGAAACCTCATAGAGAGGATTCGTCAAGCCCTTATCCAATAATCACCACTCCGATCTGGAACAGACGCCATGGTCCCATGCCACCCACCATCTCCACGCCCGAAGTCAATTTCATGGCCAAGTTTGTGGCCAACAAGAAGGCCGGGGTCGTCAGGGTCGCTGAGATCTTTGACTCATTTGCTTGGGGCAGAGAGCTCAAGAAAAGAGGCTTTCAATCTTCGCTCAAGTTGCCTGCCGGCTTTCGAAGGTACATCCCGAAACCGAAGGTCATCGCACCCATGCTGGAGCCAGAGCTGGAATATCTGCAGATGCTGTTGGATGAATATTGTCCTTTACCATGTGTAAGCCCTATCTCAGAGGCCCCTCAAATGCCTGAAGCAGATACAGGAAACCCAGAGATCCCAGAAGCAGTCGCCGGAAACCAAGAAGTACCAGCAGCTGTCCCAGAGATCCCAGCAGCAGATCCACAAGAGCCGCCCGGATATCTGTTTAGTCGTATCCCAACGTCTGAGGAACTCAGTCAGATGGAAAAGGACTTTGAGGCGGGTCTGCTGGATCCAAACACTTGGCCCTTCAACTGCAGAATGCCCTGTCCCACATCCCCTTGCCCAAAATGGCGCTATGATAATCCACCCACACCACCACCCACACCGAGGCCATCGAAAAGGTCCAGACTGGAGCCATGCGCACATGAAAATGCTCTGGCTGTCGACTTTCTCTTCCAAGAGGAGCAAAAACGAGCCATGAAACCGAGCCAGAGTGAGAGTCAGAGTCCTTTGATACATCGGATCATCCCTAAGGTATCCCGTGGCTTGCATTCGATAAAACTTCTTAAGTCGCTCAGATTCAAAAGCCAGAAAATTAACGACACTACGGAGATCGACGAGATCCTTAATATGTTCACTCCAACGGAAAATCCTCGTCCTGTGAATGACACTTTGCAGCTCACACCGCCCGCTGACCAGGATCCAGAAATTTCAGAAGATATGGAATACCGCATCGCGGCGCCCGATATGGACGTGCCGCTTGAAGTGGAACAAGACATTTCCCTGCAGGATTACATGCCTGGGAAATCGACATCACTGGCCCTGCTAAATGACATTCCAAGAACATCCATTGCCCTGCAGGATGAGATCCCACAAAAATCGCAGCCATTGATTTCAGGCCTATGCATAGAAGTGGCTATGCCTGAGGACCTTCCGCACCTACAGCAAGAAGTGTCAGTTCCGGTTCCAGTTCCCAATAAGGAGTACTTGCACGTGGCAGAGGAGCGGGAACCCATATGCATTGGCAATGTGCAGCCCAAGCCACAGGATAAGGCCGAGTGCCAACAATGGATCCTTCAGACTAGCCAAATCCTTACCTCCCAGTACAAGTCCCTTCTCTGGAAAGACCGAAAACCTGTTGATATTGATTTCGAGGATGAAATCGAAAAGGATCAGCAGAATCAGCGCCTGCCTGGCATCGGTCATCCATCGACCTTGCAAGAAAACGCCTGGCAACGGAGCTACCGCTCGATGCTGGACGTTTTCGAGGATATTTGTGAGGAGACCGCATGCGAGTATCGCGACCCGCAGGCCAAAAGATTGCGCAGCAAATGGGTCCAGAGATTTGGTAAGAGCTCGCGTCCAAATCTGTGCCGCAAGCTGGACACAAAACTGCCGACAGTCCGCTCCCGGCCGTTGCTCAAAGTGAAGATAATGGCCAAAAAAAATATCAAGAATTTGGAAACGCTGACCCTGCGGATCGAGTTGAAGTATTCGAAAACGTTCTGTACGTTGCACTTGAACCAGCCGATCCATCTCAAGTCGGCGGCCAAGAAGCTCTCAAGAGTCGAGTACGACAATGCCATAAATGTCCTGCAAAAGTTCGAGAACCACAACCGAAACTCGGAGCACAGTCGGATATCGTGGCTCTGGCCGAATGGCACTGTGACCATCATAAACGGCTGTCGCGACGACAAGAAAGATCTGATAGAAGTCCAGAATAAACTCCTCTCTCCCCTACTGCATGTCTCCCACTTCAAGGCGGAGCCAGCCCACAATCTGCTGTACCTGCGCATGCGTTCCAGCGCTCATTTTGGCTTTCAAATCAAACTGAAGCTGTTCGCCGAATGTTTTGTGCTGTCCGCCCAGACGAGTCGCGATAATGTCGGATCGGAGTACGTGTATTATGTGAGCAGCGATTTACCGGGCGTGGTGGCACAGTTGCATGACCATGGGAGGGTCTATGTGTATGCCATGTCCATTGAGGAGGCGGACAAAATGTTGCTAAAGCTATATATCCTGATCCACAATCAAAGCAGGCATCTGGTAAAGATAGAGCCCCATTGAACTCTCGTCCTTAACCTTTTTCTATTCCTTGGAGTGTCAGAATGGTTTAAAGTCTGATGCATTTTGCAATAAAATGCGTTATTAAATGCTTTTGAATATTCACATATAGCTTCAGCATTAAGTTCTATTAAAAATTCTTTTTAAAGTAAAGAAAGCCGAGCTGTATAGGCTCAGCAGAGCACAGTGCTCTGCAGTTACTCGAGCCATTACGGGACACTGGCAGATTGGCACTCATGCCTCTAGACTGTCAATCCCTCATAACGACTTCTGCAGGAGTTGTCGCGACGGGGAAGAGGAGGAATCGGTCCCCCACTTCTTCTGCCACTGCCCGGCCCTTGGAAATCGTCGTCTTCGTTTTCTCGGGGCTGCTTTCCTCACAGACATTTCGGACCTGGTCGAAATCAAACCGGGGACCTTGTCCAGATTCATCCAAGCCTCCGGATGGGACTGCCCTTAATTTGCAACAGCCTGTTTCTCCACGGTTTTTAGGCACTGGGAAGGGGCACACGCCCATGCGGCACCACAACGGACCTTCTACAGGTCCAAGTGAGCTTGGGAGGGTTTCATCACTCCCCCAGGCTACCGCCTGAACCTAACCTAACCTAAAGTAAAGAAAATTTGGTTTTCGGCGAGTACATACTTGGGCACACTACGGGTTTCACTTTCGCAAAGGTCAGACAGGTAAATGTGCACATACATTGTGTATTTTGAAAATTATTAAGCATTAATCGGAAAAGTAAATAAAATGCTAAGTCTAGTGGCCTACGACCATACTGTCAGAGTAGTTTTCTTCTGCTGGGCACAATACTTGTACTTCAGTACGTTCTGACTTTACTTTAAGTATAGACTCAGGTCTGATTCGAAACAATAAAAGAAAATTTTTAAAAAATTGTGAGAAATTTGCAAATTTGGGATGGCAGCTGTAAGTATAAGCTTCAACGGGGAGCCGGCCGTCCTGCTGAAGCTCGGTAATGTCTACCGCATTGGGCGCAAGAAGTCATATGAGTTCTGTGTTGACGATGAAGTAAGTACAGCCAAATTTATAGCTCTACCCCAAAGATGCAAACGTTTCGTTGTTTTAAACTTGTGTGCCCCAGTCCATGGAGCTGTTTCATGCTGTGGCAACAGTCTATCTAGCTGGCGTCCTTCGCGTGAATGCTCTGCAGGGAAAAGTATTCGTGAATGGCTTGGAGAAAATCAACGCGGACATCAGCCAAAAGGATGCCATCGATGGAAAGGTGAAGTTGCGCTTCGGTAATGTGGAGGCCGAAGTGCAAGTGATGGAACCTATTCAGCACCATGATAGCAGCGGAATCGACGAATCCGGCATGGACACATCCGTAGACACAACAATTGACAGCGACTTCGTCTCTGAAATGCAACTCAATTATTTCGATGAGAATGAATTAGACGACTTTGATTTATCTATGATTTTAGATGTTGGAGATGTACTGGGTATGTAGAACCTATTCATATATGTATTGTCATTTAGATTTATCCACTTAGATATCGGTGCAACCGACATGGAAAGCAACGATTTAACGCAGTTTATGGACCACATGGAAACGCCAACAGCAACTCACCTCGAAGAGGAGGACGATAATCAGAATTTCATTGCCACTCAGTTGTTTCCAATTGAACCCAACTCTTCTGAACAGCCCAGTTCTAGTAAGAGCCCTGAGGATTTCATAGCCACTCAGCCATTTCCTTCACCGAATCAAAAGTGGTTGTACACTGCTGAATGTACTGCAGATCTCAGCAACAATGAAGGCAATCCAGATATGACAGCCACGCAGGGATTACCCCCGAGGAGCAAGCAAGCAAAGAACACTCAAGAAAATGAAGAGAACATTGCAGTTGAAAATAATGATACAGAACCCAAAGCTTCCCCTTCCAAAGACGCAGAAGGTGAGATAAGAAGATCTTTGCACAATTAAGATCAGAAAAATTTGATTCATTCCCTATTTAATAACAGCTCTGGATACCCTTATCATGGAGATGCTGAATGAAATGGCTAAAGGCCCTCCACAACCGCCCGATGATCCAAACAAGCCCCAAATTAAGTTCGTTGAACCTTGCATTATTATGGACGAATACCATAATGCTAAGGTTTCCCGAATAGAATCCGTCTTTCCACACAGCAACAAATCCTGGCGTTTACCGAAATTACCCGAAGTCTTGCGTAGCCGCAAATCCGGATCGCTGTCACCTCCAAGTACTACAAGAGGAACATATCCACGACGCTTTTCAGACGAGTCCCCCAGAGTCCAGCCAGCCGGACATAGAAAGAAGATCGTCCGTTTTGCTTGCAATTCGCTTACTGCAAAAGAGGCTAAAGGGTCAGCTGACAAGGAGAGAACCCCGGAATTGCTGGTCAAGGAATCGTCGGTTAGTTACAAGGCGTCGACTAGTGCAGAGCTCGATTCTGCGTCGCAATCCAAAGTCAAGAAGAGAATCGAACTCGAAACAGAGGATCAGTACGTTCCAAATGAACCACGCGGGCAATTAACATACTCAAAAACAATCGAAAAGGATCCGAAAGATGCAACTGAAAAAGAAATCGCTGTAGGGAAGGAAAAGACTACTAGTGCTGTGGGAAAACAAAGGGTGGCAGGATCTAGGAAGCGTAAAATATCAACGGAGGATAAGCCAAAGGTAAAACCTAAAGGTAGTAAAAGTGAGACACCATCTACCATAGGGATGAAGACAAGAAGTAAGGCGGCACAGGAGAAAGCTAAAGCAGAACAACAATCCAAACCTACTGTTCGCAAATGTTGTGTCAGGATCAAAAGATCTAATAAACTAATAAGCTAATAAACTCGAGATCTGTCACTGGAGAGGCCACTGATCGTCCAACTACAAGTGCTGCAGCACAAAAGGAAAGCCGTTAAGAAGGGGAACATCAAGTAGAAGAGGAATGAACATCATAATTAAGGCAACATGCCTTAAACAACAAAACAATAAAAATGATTACGTCACGACTAAGCCTCATTGCCACGCTTATTTCTTTGGTTAAATTCTTAAAAAAGTCTTATAATAGGCACGGTATTCGAAAGCAACGCGCCAAATCAAAACTCAAGACTTCACTAGTTGTACTCTTCTAACACACGGCACCAAGTTCGAAAATTCGACATAAATTTTTAGTGTATCGATATAAAAGTGCGATAGATTGTATCGAGCCCGAATTGTATCGGACATTTGAAAGCCACGGGCTTGCCTCCCCATTTTACAGTTTCATCGGGCCCGCGGACAAGTAAACAACGAAGTAATGTGGAGTCTAACTTCAGAAAAGTAGTTCCGTTGATATCGACAAACAAATCCCATATTGATATTACCTATCAAACAGCCCACTTTTTAAATTCTCGCCGAGGCAGGTTGATTGGCGCGCTTGTTTCCCATTTGTTGTGCTGTTCGTCTTTCGTCGTCAGTCGTCTGTCGTCTGTGCCGTGTCGTGCTTTTCGCCAGCGCTAAAACCGAAACCAGCTGGCAAATACACATACATATATATATTTATATATGTATATATTTATTTATTAGCTCGCGGGTTCTGCAATATCGCCGCCAAAGAGGTCTCCCGCGCCGAGCCAACATCATCGTTATTATAAATGTTTATTCCGGACAGCGACGCGAAATTTGCGGCATTTTAGTGTGTTAAATCAGATGTCAATCCATAACTGATCCATTCCAATTGGTAGTGCTGGATCGAGCCAAAAATATTCTTTATTAATTGAGTGTTGTCACAGCAAAACTTAAACGACGGAATCAGCAGAACCAGAAACAGAAACGAAGTCCCATAAAACATAAAACGAAAAAATATATATATTTTTTATAATTAAAATTCAGAACGAGACGCGAAACACAAGGCAACACACGAGGCGAGAGAAAAGAGAGTGAGAGAAGGGAGAAGGGAGAGAGACGAACCATCAAGCAAAACAAAAGCAGAAGTGAACGCTGATTCTTACCCCGAAATATTCAATTTTCTTGATCTTCTTCTGCGAGCAACCATCCCATCTGACTCTTACTGTATATTTACCTGAGTCTGTGCCCTTGCAGCCGGCAGGCAATTGGTAACGTAACTCGCTCTCCCGCTCTCACCGGGCAAAAGAAAACAAAACAAGGAAAAGGAAAAGGAAAAGGAAGAGTAAGAAGTAGAAGGAGAAGCAAATATGGCAATGCAACGAGAAGTGGGCGTACAGGACTTTGTCCTACTGGATCATGTGTCCATGGAGAAGTTCATGGACAACTTGCGTAAGCGGTAAGTCAGCAAACCCATATTTATTCCACTTATATTCCACTCCTCGCCCTCCCCGCTTCCACTTGGTTTGTTCTCTTGGTCTAGTTCAAGGCTTCTGTTTTGCTCCATTGCCACTGCCACTGCCACTGCCACTGCCACTGGCGGGGGCACGGGCGGGCTCCCAACCGGTTGCGGTTCTTGGCTTTTCCAACTCGATTAAACTTGATTTCTTTTATCGGCTTTTCAATTAAACTCTGCCGGCTGCCGGCTCTGTCTGACCCCGTGCCTGGCTTGGGCTCAGGCTTGTGGCCCAATGTGTCGGCTTGGTTCTACTTGAGAGCGCGCTCAATGGACCCATTTGCATGCTCATTTAGAGTGTTTAACTTTACTCTTTTTTTGTGAGTGAGTGACTGGAGTGTTGACGGAATGACTTTCGTTTTTTGCACATTCATTAGCGGGCCATTTATACAATTTAAGAGGGAAATGGAAATGGTGGAAGATACTTGGTAGATGAGGAACATCTTGGAAGGGGAATCATTTCATTTCGATATAAATAAAAGAGCACTTCCTTATACTATCTAAATTCAATTTAAATTTTTCCTGTTTTCGGGCTTACTCACGCTGTCAAGGTGGTAACGAAACGATATAATATGCATAGTAGATGTCAAATGATTGAAATCGCATTCCGTGAGCATCTATAAAGATTTTATAGTACAAAAATTCAAGCAAAATCAAGTTATGCTTAAGAAACACACACCGAAACTCATCCAATACTCTTTTCGAAACAATCGCACCAGAATGGAAGTAACTACGGATCTAAGTGCAACCAAAGTTCACTTCGTTGTCTGACAATCTATAAAATTACAACAAATCAAACAAATGAAACAATAAACTACAAATAGATTCAATAAAATTGTAATCCAATAAACTATGCACATAGAAACAAACACGTTTTATAGATACATGTGTATCTGCTACCCACCAATCCCTACCCCAGCCCCATCCCACCTGCGGCCTGCCATTCCGAGTGTCAATATTTGTGTGGCCAGCACTGTGGTTGGTTCCAGTTAGTATGTTTTGGTAGTTACTGTCAGTGCAGGGCCCATTATGTGTAGTTCCTTTACCTCCACAGCCCACACACAGCAGTACACACAGCAGCACACGGACCAGTATGTCATTTCATGCGGCGTGTGTCAACAACTTGTTGCATGTGCTTCCTTTGAAAAGTATCTGTCTGTCGGTGTGTGTGTGTGTGTGTGTGGGGTGTCGCTTCGCGTCTCCCCGGACTGCCACGGGTCGTTGCATTGCATGCCTCGCTAAGTTTCATGTAAAAACGATCACTATCGTGGAAGTTCTCGCTACATTGTCGAGTCCACATATTTATCTTTCTGATTAGCAATGGGTCTACAAAATTGTGGAAATATTTATGTTGTTTCGCTTTGACTTCTACATTAACTCATATGATAATGAGTTCTTCATCACTCCATTACGAATGGCTGGGCTTCCATCCGAAATCCCAGTATTTGGGCAGTGATTCATCCATCGTACTATAGAGTATACATATATATTTAATTACTAAGCACACACTCAGACGACGATATATCACAATTACGAATCGCCGAAATTGATAAGCCAAAAAAGCCAAATGCTCGCCTTGAGTGGAGGAGCTGTCAGATGGAATCGGCATAGAAAAAGGAAATTAATTGCATAGGCAGCTGTGGCAGCACTGACTGTTATTGAATGAAACGATGAGTGGATGATATTGAATCACTGAGATCATTCCCAAATGATTGATGGATGGATGGATGGCTCACTGGAACTGTTTCGATTGCACAACCGAAATGAAAACTATAATTAACAGCAGATTACTCTCCGAAAGATGTTAACCCAATTATGTGGATCATAAGACCGCTTATCGAAGCATCGCAAACAACAACAGAAATTGTTTTGCTCGAAATTGGATTAATTGCATAATCACGATTTTCTTCTCTCATAACATGGTATCATAATCGAAAGACATAACACAACACGCATCAATTTGCTGTGCATTAATAAATATTTATCAGGAAACCCGGAAGAAGTGATACAATGCGATACCCGTGCAACAGAGTCTGAAGTCGAGGAAAACCCCAACCAAATTGAGGGTCAAAAACGAGCCAAAAGCTCCATAAAGAAAATCGAAACAAGTAATTGAAAAAATAGCGAAAATCTGAAGAAAATGCAATTAAATTCAGTAAAACAAAACTCACTTTCATTCCGTTGGCCGAATGGGAAATAACTGCATTTTATTTGGTTTACTTTTGGATGAAGATACTCTTTGCGAGAGCAGAGGGTGTTATAGACTTGTGCAAACGTTTGGTATCCACAGAAGAGAGCATCAGGATCTATGAACTAATGAACTAGGCGAATCAACCTAGGCCTCAGCCAAAAATTGATCCACTTCAATGCTCTTCGAACTGCATAGAGTATTCAAACTTCGACTCGTCGAATTGTTTTTCTTTCGTGCATTTTTTTCTTGGATTTTCTGTAGTAGTTTGTTGGCAATGACATCATGTGTTGGCTTGGGGACTTGGCACAGAGACGGACTCTTCTCTTTTCTGCTTTATTTCTTTTGGCACCCCAAAAACATCCCCGATAGCAGCATATTTTATTTTCAAAATAAAAAATATTTTTATTAAAAGGCTCTCGCTTTTGCTTTGGATCGTAGCTCTGGCTCTGAGTCACTCGCTCTCTGTGTATCTTGCAGATACTCTCGAGTCGCGGAGTCAACAAATAACAGAAAAAGGCAGGAAAAAAATGCCATGGCGTAGCCAAAAATACAAACCGGTTGATGGCGTCAGTTTGGCCAAGACTCACCCACAAAAAAGCAACAAAGAATGTGTGCTGTGAAGAAAACTTGTTTGAGTTACCCGAAAACCTAAGAAAAGGCTTCCTCTTTTCCGAACTGAGGGGATTGTTTGATCTGGCCAAGTTCATAGCCGAGTTCGGAGTCGCGGCCCAAGGAGTTCTTTTATGACTGCCATTCAGTCAAGTGTCCTCCTCACGGGAGGCCCCAAAAGAGTCCCATAAAATCCCTGATTGATTGCCCTTTGACCCCTCAGCTGCTCTCATTCGTAAGTACACTCAAGTACTAGTACCTCGGCTGATAAGTTTAGTTTTCATTGTCTGGTTTTGTTTTGTTTACGCATTTATTTGGCCTATATTCTCCGTCTATGGACCTGTAGATCATTTTCGGGGCTTCTGTTTACGGCTTGTGCTCGCTCATGGATTTCCCATGAACTGCCGTTGAACTGGGAAAAAGAAAAACATTTATTACGGCTATGAATCTATGATATTATTTCGGGGTTTTATTAAATGATCTGCATGACAACGAGGAAAATGCTATTTACGAGGTGATCAGTGTACATTTTTAACGAGCCAAAAATACAAATATGTGGGCAGGGCAGGCAGATCTCTTAGGAACACTCAATTAAAGGGGGGTTCCTGAACTTTATACATCCCGATGACGATAATGCATTGACTTGAGAAAAGGTTCGGGTTCGTTCCTCTCTAGATCTTTTAGTTTATAAATTTACCAGAGATTTCTGGTCTTTTAACTTGTTGACAACGAAAGAGTTAGGTCCATAAAAAGCACTCCTGAAATATATTTATTTCCACCCACAAATCAATTCTAGTTCTCCATCCTCAGTTCTTGTGATCTTCAAGTGCTTCTGCACCCAGAGCCCTCCACTATTTACACACTTCATA